TTTCATTCTTCTGTCCTTTAGTCAAACGATTCGAAAATCTGAAGGGTGTAACAAGATGTAAGTTTTCCCACCAGAGAACCAAATGATTTTATTCCTTCCATCTGTTTTATGACTCCAGGGACTGCTAAATTTGTCAAGTGTTACAAACAGAAATGAATGTATAATGTATCTAACTCAATTTTTATGATAAATGGATGGAATTGACTTTGTATGAGCAAAGAACATAGTGTCGCATATTATAAAAGAAGATTTGAAAATTTTTATACAGAGAGTTATACTCTATTTTTCAATTTTTTCCCTTTAATTTTGATACGTACTGCAAAAATATTTTTCCAGTTCTTCAGAGTTGTTCTGCATTAAATTCATTTCTGTTTGTAACACTTGACAAATTTAGCAGTCCCTGGAGTCACAAAACAGATGGAAGCAATAAAATCATGTGGCCTTCTGCTAACACTGCTTACACTCTTCGGATTTTCGAATCCTTTGAGTGAAAGTCTGAAGAATGAAAGAATGGCTATTCAAGAGAAAGCTAGAGGGGTCCCTGCAAGAGATTATTGCCCTTTCTACGGTGGTGAACAGACAGCATCGTGGCTGAGATACAGAGTGCGATCAGTTTTCTGTGCGTTCATAGTGACATCGAATTCTGTAGGTTAATTTCAGCCTGTATATACATCAAGCAGATAACAACAAAAAAGGTGTGTACATAGAATTTTACTATATATTTTTAACACATTAATCTGCAATAAAAGTACTGACTCGTGGATGAGGTTCGGCGTAACTCATACATATATTGTTTTTTGCTGTTGTTCATGTAGGTATCATTTTAATTAAAAGCCAAACAGTGAAGCTTACTTCAAGACTAAGATCTGGTCATGAGCGTCTGAATGGGCTCTAAATTAAGAGAAAGTGACTGGTCAACCGTCAGTTGTAAAATGACTTTGAAACGAAGCAAGTAGTAAAGAGGAATTTTGTAGAAGTAGAAACGAAGCTGTAGGATATGTGGAAGACGAAGGCGAATCCTTGCCATAACCATGGCGGTCCTTTGGTAAGGCACTGACGTATGGTTTAGAAGATACGTGATTGGAAGACATGACTACTTTTGTGAGAAACAATTTAATGCACCTAAATACATTTATCACTCTGTCTTCAGTAGATATCAGCGTTTCAGACAAGATGTTTACATTGTTTCTTTCTGGCAGTAAAATACATTATGTTCTATGGTAAGCGTGGGACTCAATGTAATGGAGTAACGTTCAGCAATTGGACTTACATTTGATAAAGAACGTGGTGGAATGCTACATTTGGAGCATGGCTTCGAACATTACTTCATTACGTGGAGGTCCACGCTTACCATAGTATTCATATGAAATAAAAAAGTAGCGCCATCTGTTGAACATTAACTCCACAGATGGCGTAGCATGGCACCGCTTCCATAGTATTCATATTCATATGAAATAATAAAAAGCGTCACTGTTGAACATTACTCCACAGATGGCGAAGCATGGGACGGTACCCACGACCGAGCTTGGGGTCACGCAGAAAGTTAAATACTTGAGACCACGCTAAATCAGCGAGAGTTAAGAAAGTATGAAATAAAACTGCAGCGCCATCTGTTGAACAGATGAAGAAAGCGGTCTTCTGGGATTTGGCACCGTGTATATGTGGTGTTAACCGACGTTTCGGAGGAACGTATCGCCTCCATCCTGAAGATGGAGGCGATACGTTCTTCATAGTCACCGCCGTGAAAGCCTCAAATCTTACATGTTGAACAGATGTTGTAATGTTCAACAGATGGCGCTACAGTTTAAAATATTTTCTTGTTAACTTCGCTCAGTTAGCGTGGTCTCAAGCGATTAACTTTCTGCGTGATTATAAGGGTGGGTGAGGGTGGGGTCCCACGCTTCCATCCTCAGTACCTCCTGCCCTATCCTATAAAATGAATTCTTCAGAGGAGCGGTTTGCACAGCCCAATCAGATACTAAGATGCTATATTTAACTACACCTCGTGGCTTTCCATGAGGTTTAATGAACAGAATGCGCTGCAGTTATATTACATTTTCTTGCTAACTCTCGCTCATAGAATTTGGTCTCGAATAATTCAAAGTCACCCCCTAAGGGCGGGTGGGCCGAATTTTTTTTTCTTTTTGATCCCATGTGGATTTTAATAAAACCCGCTTAGGTTGAGTGTCTTAATGAGCGGCAGCAAAAAGCAAAAATATACCCTCACCCCGGCCCCTCCCTCTATCTCTCCCTCCTCCTTTACCCTATCTCCTAATTTCTTTCCATTTTCTTTTTCACAAAAATCCTACTGGTTTCGAACAGGGACCTTCTGAACACTAGGCTGATGTCTTACCCTTAGACCACCAGCACCACTGAAATTTACTTTCTATAATCTTCCTCTTAAGCTACATCTTCGGTTATAATTCCAGAAAAATCATATTAAACTCACTTTATATGTCACAGAAGTTTCACCGGTCTCGAAACTTCGAACTTCGCATCACTACGCCGGTGCTTTACCAATAGGCCACCAATGCCACGGAAATTTTTGACCTTTCATCTTCCTCTTATGTTACATCTCGCTATATATTTCCAGAAAAATCTTATTAACGCCATTTGTATTTTATAAAACTTTCGTTGGTTCCGAACCTCGAACCGTCTCCACACTAGGCCAGTGTCTTAACCATAGACCACCAACACCACATACTGTTAATTTCTTGAAACTACCTCTTATGTTACACCTCGTGCCGTAATTCCAGAAAAATATCTTATTAATTCATTTCTGTTTTACAAAACTTTCATCAGTCTCGAACCTCTGAAGTTCTACTCACTACGCCGGTGTTATACCAATAGGCCACCAATGCCGTGGAAAATTTTAACCTTTAATCTTCCTCTTATGTTACATCTCGCTATATAATTCCAGAAAAATCTCATTAAAAAAATCCACGTGGTCTCAAACCACGGACCTTCTGTTTACAACGCCGGTGTCTTACCTCTAGACCATCAGAACGCCTATGCTACAGCTTTCTGCGATCCTCCTCATATTCTATGACTTGGTTTATAGCTGCAGAAAAATCGTATTTATTTATTCACTTTCCAATTTTTATTGACAAAAGACACCGCGGTCTCGAACCCCGTACATTCCCAGTACTACGCCAATGTCTTACCCACATACCACCAGATCTATATAAATTTGTTACCTTCACCTTCCTCATATAATACGACTTGCTTCCTACATGCACAAATTTCTTAAATTTTTTTCTCACAAAAGTAGTCATGTCTTCCATCCACGTGTATCTTCTAAACCATACGCCAGTGCCTTACCAAGGGACCGCCATGGTTATGGCAAGGATTCGCCTTCGTCTTCTACATATCATACAGCTTCGTTTCTACTTTTACAAAATTCTTCTTTACTACTTGCTTTTTCAAAGTCATTTTATGACTGACGTTTGGCAAGTCACTTTCTCTTAACATGGTAAAAGTTATTAGATATCTAATACAGTACATACAGTCTGGAGAAATTGTGTGGGGATTTTATAATAATGGTAAAATGACTTTTAATTGTGCTTTTATGTGGGTATGGTGAAGTATGTTACTCCTAGCTGTAAGTAGAATGCAGTAGTTTATTGGCAGGATCTACGGTGATAGAACATAATGTATTTTACTGCCAGAAAGAAAGCCTGTAAACATCTTGTCTGAAACGCTGGTATCTACTGAAGACAGAGTCATACATGTATTTAGGTGCATTCAGAGCTTCTCAGAGCATGTTAAGTCTGCTCTTCCTGCATGTGATTACCGAATGGCTTTTAACAACATATGTTGCCAAGTCCAATTTTGGATAAAGTTGCAAATGAACAACAGATCATTCACATGAACTGCAGGCATTCCTGTGCCCAACTTAAAAGCATCATCCTGTTCCTTATTTAAAAACAGTGTTCTATACTAGGTCTGTAGATAGGGATTAGTTCTTTTGATTGGGCCCAACAGAGTAGGCATTTACATGAGGACGGAGACAGAGTCCAATTACTAAAATGTTTTTTTTTTCTTTTTGTATAAAGCAGGGTAAGCGATAATGTCCAAGATGTAAATAATTGTATGAAGTGTGCAGGTGTCCAGATTGACATAACCTTCCCAGTATGCATTCATTCATACAAAAAGCACATAAAATATATGAAATAAAATGCACTTGTATTTGGGCTCAAACTGCCAAGTTTTAACAACTGGAACACAAAGAGAATAATCTTTTATAGAACTTGTACTTGGTTCAGTTGTAGCAACAACAATTACTACAATTACACTCTTATTTTAGTATATCAACTGGAATGGTGGTGTGATCCAATTGAAACATACTTGTAGTGTAAATCTGGTATCAGACTTTGGCTCGATCAGCATAAATGCCCAGACTGTGATGCTAACACTAACTTTAACATATTACTTATGTCACGAATGCCCCAATTCTCCTGTTCACATTTATGTTACACACATACAACTGATATCTTCCCTTCACTTTTCCAACTAAAGTTTCTGTGCATTTCTCTTCCCTCGTATGTATACTATGTGACGCACACCTCTGAGGTTTCTTCATTTGATTTCCGTAACAGCATTGATGAAGAATACAAATTATGAAGCTCCTGATTATGCACTCTCATTAGGTTCAAATAGTGTATGCACCATCCTGTTCTGACAGTCTTAAGTTATTCTCTTATGGGTGAGAGACCAAGTTTTACACCCATTTGAAAATGGTAAAATTCAAGCTGTCTATATTTTAATAAAGGATTCTGAACTGAATAGTAACATTTATTCCATGAGTTCAACCTGCTGTTAATTTCTCCATGAATAATGTAAAACTAGTAGTATGTAATAATGTAGCACTGTGCAGTTCCTTGTGGACAAAATGACACTGGTAAATTTTTCTGTGTGTACTTTGATTTTCCTTTGCCAGCCTTTCGGCTATTGAAAATTTCTTAAAACTTTGTTTACTAGTAACAAAATTCATTACAGTGAGTTTACCAAGGAAACTGTCAGGGAGTGCATTTTGTGATCTTTTAAGTGCAGATATTTAAATAATCAGTCTACTAAGATATCAGTTCACAATATTTACAGTGATCCACATAGTCCCAAGGAACAGAACCAGTTCACTCTTGATGAATTACATGCAATCAGAGCAATGCTAAAGCAGCGGCAGCAGCACCAAGATAAGTAAGTTAATCAGAATGTTACCATATGGTATGTCTAATGAGAATTACTGTTTTTGCAGTACTGTTTTTATTTTAAAATTAAGTGCTGTTACCTTGCCCGTGGAAAGGGTTACTGCATAAAATAAAATGATGGGCACATTTCAGTATTAGAGAAACAGTAAATTTTTCTTTTCCTTAGTGGTGTTCACATTTCACACCACAGGCCAGAATAGCCTTGCCCACACATGGTCCCACCAGTTTTACCTTCCACCTGTGGTAGTGTATAAGGTTTCATGAAAAGATTCAGGAACTGATTTTTCAGGAGTGAAACTAAACTCAAAACTGTAATCATATGTATCTCTTTCATAGTATGTTCAACCTACAGTACTTGAACATGGTATCATAGCTATCTTGCCTTTGTTGACACATTCCCAGTATTTTTCTGAGAGGATCTTGGATTCCTGTGTCACACTTCAAATAATTGGTAACAATTCCACAAATGTCTTCCATTTAGGATACATTTCAATTTGTGAATCACCAAAAGATCACTGTGTTTCAAATATGAAGTGTGCAGAACCAGGAGATGCTCATTCCTGATGAAGAGTTTCTGTAATATGTTACAAGTGAACCATGAGATGAATTTTGCCAATAGTCATCCCAGGTTTAAAATCATGTCTTTACTGCAGATATAAAGTTCTGGCATAGATACATAAATTGTCATCCTAACATCTTTATAAAATTTGTATTGAAAGTGAGGACTGATTTCGTGAATGTAATGGGTGACTGAACTGTGCATCAGCCTTGTACAGAAGTTTTTATGTATTCTACATACATAAGTCCCAGCAGCTGAGAGTTACATCTGGGAATGCAGTTTCTAGCATTTTAAGTGTGTTGCTCTTACTCCACAGCTTAATGCAGAATTTTGAAGAACAGATGTGCTCCTTCATGTGAGACAGTTAACATGATAATGCCTTTCCTTTTCTAACCTCTGACAAATTAAATTCTTTGTAAATATTAGAAATGCTAGGCTTCAGGATGGTTCAGAAATCACATGAAACTGTAGGACACTTCTGCCAGTCATCATCTTCAGTGTCATCCTATGTTCAGGAGCAAAATTAGGACCCACCATTTCAGTGCTGTCACCAGAAATGTGGCTCTCTACTTTCACCCTAGCTAGACAGTGAGAGGCCAGAATATAAAATCCGCAGCAATGTAGTTACAGATTGTGTGCATATCAGATGTGTGTTCACTGCAGATGACAGTGACCCAGTATTGCATTCCATGTACATGGGTAAACTTTTCATTTGTATGTTTATTGAAGATTATTATTGTTATAGTATGTATTAAGGATTTGTTTTCGCAGGAAGGCAGGCTCAACACCCTTGGTTGTAAATCCAAGTAAGAAGGCTTCTAGGAAGAAGAGGAAACAGGAGAAGAAACCTGAAGGTCCAATAGGCCTGTGAGTACACTTACTTACTTAATCATGATGATGACTTTGGAACAAGATCAGTAAAGTTATAATGTTTAGTGCAACTCGAAGTGCGTACTGTTTGAATTTTGCTTCATCTGAATGTACAGAAATGTTAGAGTTTAGGCAAACAGTAATTTAACATGGTACAAGTTATTAGATATCTGATGCAGTACATACAGCCTGGAGAAAGTGTGTGGGGATTTTGGAATAACGGTGGTAAAATGACATTTAATTGTGATTTTATGTGGGTATGGTGAATTATGTTACTCCTAGCTGTAAGCAGAATGCAGTAGTTTTATCAGCAGGTTCTATGGTGATAGAACACAATGTATTTTACTGCCAGAAACAAAGCCTGTAAACATCTTGTCCGAAACGCTGATATCTACTGAAGACAGAGTGATAATTTATTTAGGTGCATTCAGAACTTCTCAGAGCGTGTTAAGTCTGCTCTTCCTGTGTACGATTACCGAATGGATTTTAACAACATATGTTGCCAAGTACAATTTTGGATAAAGTTGCAAATGAACAACAGATCATTTACATGAACTGCAAGCATTTCTGTGCCCAACTCAATAGCATCATCCCAGTAGCAACCTTCCCAGTATGCATTCATTCATACAAAAAGCACATAAAATATATGAAATAAAATGCAGTTGTATTTAGGCTCAAACTGCAAAATTTTAACAACTGGAACACAAAGAGAATAATCTTTTATAGAACTTGTACTTGGTTCAGTTGTATCAACAACAATTACAACAATTACACTCTTATTTTAGTATATCAACTGGAATGGTGGTGTGATCCAATTCAAGCACACTTGTAGTGTAAATTCTGGTAACACACTTTGACCTGTTTAGCATAAATGTCCACATTTAACAAGAATCATGACGGCATTTGAAACTGAGTTATGTTGCATGATACTGTGCTAGATATTATGGTTAATAACTATACTCTGGATATCTTGTCACCAAGCAGTGGTGATTTGATTGCAGGATGTCTGATGACAGTGACAGTGACAGTGACAGTGATGAAGATATTGATATTGAAATTGGTGCACGTAAATCATCAGCAGAAGATGTGAAGCCAGCCTCAGCAGATTTAGCAGCCACTACAGTTGAGAAAAGTGATACAGGTTAGCACATGACTTAGACCTAATGCTTGTCATTTTGTCACGTTGTCAGTATTGTAAATACAAAACACCTGGCCAGCATACACAACTATTTGAGATTTAAGGATTTGACAGTGTTTACTATAGAAAATTACTGTCAACTGGGATGTGACACTATGCAGTCTGGTAGGTTGCTAACAAGAACCTGTCTCCATGTTTGCACTTCTACCCTGTACAGCTTGCACAACCAACCAAGGTGTGAGATTTCCATACTGGTGAATGAAGATTGTGTTCTGGGGGGTGGTGCTATGTAGTTCAGTAAATTAATGGCATTTCAGAACTACCTGCTACCTCCATCTTCAGGGTTCTGCCCTGTCTGACGCACATGTCAGTTCTTAAGCATTGACTGAAGAGTGTGGTCATATGTCATTAATCTTCACACATGACTAAAAATTGGTTTTGTCATGTTCTAGTACTCTTGTTATTCTCACATGTCCCTTTTATTGTATTTAATGTGACATAGTACATTATTCTTATTTGTTTAATGAAATTCTTACTTTTGTCAAGGTGTGTTTTTGTATTACTTATGCTACTACAGTCAGTAATTTTGTGGACTGTGGTTTTGTTGTACCATATTACAAGATACTCATACACAAACATGTCCACATCCTCCCTCAAAGTAGTCCCCTTTCATTTCCTGTTATGATCAGTCGAGAAATGTACCATCTTTGTCAGCACTATCGATCAGGTCACTGCAAATACTCATGCAATCATCACGTTGGTCTTGCGTCAAGATGTATGGAACACTGCTGGGTAACATGAGACATGTTCAGGTCATAAGCAGAATTTTATGGCAAGTTGCATGGCTAATCCCTGCTGCTGTGATTTCGTCTACTGTTTAGGAGTGTATGGCACACCAACGTTCCAACTTCTTGGATCTTCGAGTTCAGTTCTGACCATTCTTGGCCAACTGGTACGCTCATCATCTTCCAAACTCTCTCTCCACTGTGCAAAACGTTTATGCCACTAACACAGCATTATGACCCAAGGCTTCTTCACGGTATGCTTGCTCGATCATCTGAAACGTTTCGCTAGCAGATTTTCTTACATTTGCCCATTGCTTAGACTGCAACATGCACAATTTCCACCACTCTCATACAACTACCCTTCACAATAGTGACTTTCTTTCTGAATACACTGCATGCACACAACTGCTGCTTGCTGGGATGAGAGAAGAACGGACATGGCACCATCTCATGGTTCCACATATCTGCTGTAGTGCATAACAGCACCACTATGCGCCAAATCCATGTATTTATTGACTGTACTGTGTATTGGTTGAAATTTCCACAGCATAAAATTGAATATTATTTTTAAGCATCCTATTACACTCACACAATATGTATGAGACAAACTCCGTCTTAAGTGCAACAATTTAATTGTATTTCTTTCTTCTTCCCTTCCTCCACACTACATGTTTGGAAAAAGAAAAAGAACAGAAAATTTATAGACATTTTAATTTGAATCGAAGTTTTAAAAAAGTGCCAGTTTTAGAAATCAAATTGATGCGTGTAGGTTAACAAAGATTTTATACATACATACAATTGGAAAGACTGGTGATTTTAAATTTTAAACTACGGGCAGTGTAGCAGCTACGTAAGAATACACACCTGATGATGGCCATTTAGGGCCGAAACATGTAGTGTGGAGGAAGGGAAGAAGAAAGAACTACAGTTAAATTGTTGCACTTAAGACGGAGTTTGTCTCATATATATAAAATTAAATCTTAAAGATCCATATATAACTTTCCCAAATCAATGTTTCTCTGGTGTTGTGTACTTTGTTCTGTTTTTTATATAATGTCTGATTTGTCCTGCATTATTAATTTTTGTTTTTTTGAGTGTTTTTCTTTTATCTTGGTTCTGTCCCACTGTCATTTTTTGGGGGTAATCTTTGCCCCTCTGTGTCATGTGTCCTCTGCATTCTAAAGATATGGCTTATGATCTTGTCAGGTAGTCTGTGAAATTATATTTTACTGTACTGGAACACAAATATTTGTTTTATATGTTCAGAGTGGTCAGCATATGACAAATAAAGTGGATATGGAACATAGTGACAACTGCTTTTGTCTACCCAATGATCATATCAGTTTGACACTCTTGTCCGCTTGCCTTATCTGCATGCACACCTGCCAGCCACTGTGCATTAATACAGACTGTGTAAATGTAAAGTTGTCACTGTGCATAACTAATTAAGCACTACACCATGGAGATATATGGGGACCTGATGTATAGATCCACATATTCTTGACCTCAGTACTAGTTCAAGGTGTGTGGTCAGCTGCATGCCCCTGCCAACTGTGGGGAAAGAGGCCCAGGTACCCATTGGGTAGGAGGCTGGGTGGGCCCAAGAACCAGTTTGGATGAGTACAGGCTGTTTAAATTCCTTAAACCAATGAAGCATACAATGCAGTTTTTGGCCACATTTTTCTGTGTTGCCAAGAAGGTTCAATAGCAGTAACACTACAGCTGTATTCCAGAGGTACTCAATTCACATTTTGACTGGGAAACCAGCTATCCTATCTGTGAGAGTGGGGGGCAAGGTGTTCCTCAGTCTCTCTGGGAAAATACTGGAATAGTACCGTGATTAGACCACGGCTGCTTCCTTCCACATCTTTTCCAATTCTTTATTCACCATTTATATTACCGTTTGACACTGTATAATGTGAGATGCTAAGATTGTCATAAAATAACCCCCACCTGCCTCGTTTCTAAACAGAAATCTCACTTCACCTTGCAACAGAGTCATGTAAGGCTAACCTGTGAAATACTCTTTGTTTCCTTTGTGTAGAGAAACTTGTTCTTGCCTCCATAGTTCTCATACAGGTGAAGTAATTTTTGTCTTCTGACATTTCCTTTCCCTTTGTGCCTGTTCAACTTTTGAGATAATTTGTTTGTTATGATGCCTAAATGATGTAACATTTAACAGAGCCATCAGTGACTGATACCACCTTCCAGATGTGTGTTGTGAATGTGTAGTCCATGGTTTGGCAGTGTGATGTATGTCTCATCATTAGTTGGTAGTTGTAGTCATGATGATAAAGGTGGTAGACATTTACCATGATGACCACTGTAACCATGACTTTCATGGCTACATCTACCGAAATTGGTACAAGTGTGGCTATTCTACCAACTTTACCATGGCCACATCATTTATTAATGGTGGTAGTAATGGTGTAGTAGAATGGAATATTCTGTGTATATGCTCATTCTATATACATGTTTATGTTAGATTGTTAGATTTCTTTGGAATGGCTAGTGGAAATTTAACAAGTATAAAGGAGGAGAAACTGAATTGTATGTGGTGCTATTTTTACAGGCTTTACAAAAATGAATAAAAAGAAGGGAGAAAAAAGCAAAGATGAGGCTGCTTCTCCAAATAAACCTGAAGACTTATCACCACTGGAGCTGTTTATGGCATCTGGTTTTGACCTCTCACAAATTGCTGATCTGAGTGTAAGTAAATTGCTTATTCAGATAAATACATGCTGATCTGATATTCTGACTCCACTGTTGTCTTCACAGTGTTAACTACTCAGTGAAGATTATGTATGGTTGTCTAGGTTATGACTGTGTAAGATTTGAGGCTTTCACGGCGGTGACTATGAAGAAAGCAGTCTTCTGGGATTTGGCACCATGTATATGTGGTGCTAACACCACATATACACGGTGCCAAATCCCAGAAGACTGCTTTCTTCATAGGTTATGACTGTCTGCCATCCTGAAAATTGAGAGTGTTTTCTTCCAGAACACTGACACATGTATCACATTACATGGCATCACTTGCCAGAAGAGCCCAGTGTTCATATTCACTGCCATGAGACACTCAACTGTCACAAAATCAGAGAAGTTTAATTTGATCCACGTTAGTTGTTACATTTGATCAGTACAGAAGAATTACTTTTGCTTGACAACTTGAGGTTAGTTCTGCCAGTACCAGACTTCAGGGAAATCTTTTCTTTAATTTTGGAGATGAAATATCTGTCCAACTGCTGTGATCAGGTGTGGCCTTGAAATGTAAGTGAAACACCATCCAGGATGTGGCTCCGTCAAACTCTGTGCGACTTTACCATGGTGGGACGGGTTGCTATGTTCCTGCTGCCTCTGGGACTATGTCTAGATTGAACTTCTACCACCAACTGCATCTCCAACACCCACCAGGTGGTTTCCTGGCCATATTGATTGGCCTTCACATTGTATTGGGTTGCTTCCTTGTCAAGTTGCCTGTGCATCACATCACATCACATCATCTGCAGCCAACTACAAAACTCCATATGAAGATTCCGAGCCTGTTGTTTAACCATTATGACTCTCTTCAACTGCCTGTCTAGCATGTCTGTTGTTTCTTGAAATGTACAAATGCTCACACAGTAATATTATTACTGTCTTCTCTTTTAGATTGACAAGCTGATAGGAAAGGAAATAACAATAAAAGAAATGTTATATTTGCAGATGAATGAGAAAGTGAACGACATGATGTTGATAGCAAAGGAAGATGGAAACATTGTACCGTGCCAACCAAACACAGTGGGAGAGCTGATTGAATTCAAACGAAAATATCCCAATGCGCAGGCTATCATTGTGAAGACTTCAGAATAAAAGTGAATAGTATTTTACAAGAGCAGATGGAATATAATGTTACTGGAAGTAAGTTCTGAAGACACATAAGCAGCACTGAGCAATCTTGCAATCTGTAAGTAAAGAGGGATTATCTGTGGCCAAGATCTTGTATGTGCCTTTTACGTAGTTTTCACAATTTGTGTGTGTGTGGCCATAGACAGTATGGATTTATTGAGTACTTGTTTACGCCACTCAGAACTACAAATTGAAGTGCCACTGCTTATCTCCACAATTTCACATATCACCAAGTTTTTTCCAGTTTGCTGTGTCTTCAACAGCCGTTTCCTAGGAATAGATTCTAACAGTGGAGATTCTTCAGCCACTTCATTTCACTTCCTTCCACTCCACTCACCAACTCTAAAGTGCACTTAGCCTGCCTGGGGTCCTCGCTATATAGCCTCAGGACGGACCCAACAGAAACCACAACTACCACCACCACCACCAACAACAACAACAGCAGCAAATGGTCACTCTATTGTTACGGGCAGTTGCCTAGCAATAGCACTGAGATTGTTGATGTTTACTGGCTGTTAGCAAGCAGTGCATGTTTCCTTCTTGCTGTCATTGTATAGCAACTTTACTACATGTTATAATATATGAATATGTATCTATAATTTTTATCTTTTATATTCCTTGCATGTTGGGTTTTAGATAGGGATATGTTAGCATAGCTTATATATGTCTTATAAGTAATTCAATGCCATAACTGAACTTGGGAGCCAAAGTAGCTCTGTCATGCAATGAATGGATATGGGCTGAACCACCAAGGTTTGATTCCAGACAGGGTCAATGATTTCTCCCTGCATCCTTTTCCAGACCACCCCTCCTCCTAACCAGCAGGCACTGGGGTTGCTTTCCCAGTGGTAAAGTGGCAAGGGCATGATGCTTACAGCTCACCTCCATCCAGTGCCAAGGTTAATATGAAGAATTGTTGGCTGAACTTTGAGTTTCAATTATTTCTATTCATTAAGCATTTGATTAACTGGTGCAAATTGTTAGGGAGAATGCAAGTCTGGAGACCAGGGGCCTGATAAGTAACAGAACACATTTGTCTTTTACATCGTGTTTACTACCACTCCAGATGTTCTCTTTCCTTTGATATAAAACAAATGGTTTAATCATAGAAAAATTCTGTTATTAAATTTAATTGAATGTGATGTATTTTGTGGACAGTTTTCAACAAAAGAAAAAACTAATTCTTTCATTGGCTTTGTGAACCTTGGCCTCCTTCATGGCAAGTGCCCTTTCTGCTCTTTTATTGACCTTGATCTGACTTTGAACAATCATAAATCATTCTCTATGTCTTTCAGTCATTTCAGTCTGGAAATAAATTCAGTGCCAAGTATATTAATGTGGGATATTTAAAGATAATTTTGTTAATTGTACAGTTTAACATGTTTGAAAAGTAAATATGTGGACTTCGTGTGAGCCCAGTCAAGTGAACAAGTTAACTCATGGAGTTGAGACCTTAAGAAGCTGCCAGTTGTGCAGCTACTCTAGAAATTCCCAACATTTTATGGAACTTAACACGTTCATTACTGTGTTCACCATTGGTGCCTAACTGAGCCAGATGAGTCCAGTAAATACCACCCCATTCTGTCTCCCTAAGATCCATTTTAATATTATTCTCCCAGTTCAGTGAAACGCGTGTATTTTTAAAAATAAAATTCAGTAACTGTTTTACATGCATGGGGTGTTGTGTCATATCTGAAGGTATGATACATTCAGATTTATAACTTTTGTACTTCATTGGTCTTTATATTACACTAAGTCAGTCATGCCAAGTTGGTTATTCAAAGTATGGTATATAAAGATGTTTACATGAACATTGAACTTTATAAAGCAGATGTAATAAGATAAAAAGTTGTGATATGATATCGTCAGTAATGTAGAATAACTTCATTTTAAATGCAAAATGAAAAAAACATTAAGGATCCAGTAGACCAGTGAGGGAAAGTTCTTTCTGTTTATAATCATATACCGTAATGGACTGTAAATTGTTGAAATGACAGAGTTGCAATCCTAGGTTGTGGAATGCTTTTGCAATATGGCATTACTGGTATATAATAAAGAATCTTATATTAATAGTACTGTCACTAGTGGTCATATGTTCGTAAAACTGGAATGGAATCACAGATTAACTAATGAAAGAAGAAACTAGTGAGGTGTGGGACGAGCACATGTAGTCACAGCCTAAAGCATATGGAATACTGATTAGTGAGTAACTATTGCACTATATAGCCTGACACTACAGATTCTTGTATTTGTAAGGATAAATACAATAAGCTCCTCACAAAAATGCAAGGTTAAACTGCTCTGGTGAAATGTGTAACGGTTTGAAGAATGCAAGTTAGTAACTTGACGACAGTGGTGCACACCACAGAACCAGCAGGTGTGTCTGAAAGAGTTTTATTCAGTCATTGCTAGTTGTATAGTGTTAACAACAAAAATTTACTGAAATTATTTAAAAGCTTTTGAGAGTGTATTGTGAGTATGAGTTGGATATGTAATTGTTGGGTATCTTATGATGCTGAAAGGAATGAGGGAAGTCATGAAAAGCTGGTGTTAATCGGAGATTCACACAACAACACCTCCTGAATGCAAGTCAGATATTTAGCATCAAGTCAGCACTCTCACTAATTCTAATTATGATTTTGTGGGCATTAAGATGATGATAAGCTGTTGGAAGAAGTTCAGAACATTGTGAACAGGAAAAATATATAGTGATGACATGTGAGCATATCCTACATACATGAATATTGGCATGTTTACTGAAGCAGCATTTGCAGCTGAGGACCTAATAGATATGTTAATGCATGGCCGTGCCATAGCTCAAGCAGTTAGTCGCTGGCTTCCCACCGCGGCTGCCTGGGTTCGATCCTGGGTCTGGTCAAGTGGGATTTGTGGTGGACAATGTAGTGCTGGGGCAGGTTTTCTCTGAGTACTTCGGTTTCCCCTGCCAATCTTCATTCCACCAATTGCTCCACAATCACCCTCACCTATCTGGGGCTGGTACAGTAGGCCAGAAGTGGCCGCAGTACAAGGGACTTGGTCCCACCCCACTAGCAATAAAAAAAATATGTTAATACCTTGTTCATACAGAACATTATAAAGTCAGGGCACCAAACACTTGAATAAAAATACCTACATGCAGTGCTGTCTGGAAGCATTCCGCAGTCACTGACACATGAAGAGGTAGGCTGGACAACTTTTTGTATCAAGGTTTTCATGTCTGAGAGGAAGACTGTAGTGCCTACCCCTTCTGTGGGGACTGTGATCAGGTAAGTGAGCTCAAGTACATAGAAGATAGTGGAAGTTAATTGCATAAATATTCAGGTTTCCTGGTCTAATTGCTAGTGTGCTGGCCTTGCATCATTCAGACAAGAGAGTTCAGCTCTCTGTGGTCCACTAGAGACTTGAGGAAGAAACTAAGCAGAGCTCTTTGTGTAATAACTAAGAATTTCCTGATCAGGACATAAACGTATGGTGCTGGCAGGAGGGTGTTAAACCAGGTGTATGGGGAATCAAAACTGAATAAAAATTTTTAACAATAAAAATTAAAAGTATTAGACAATATGGAGAAAACTGCATAATGAGGAGCTTCATAACTTGTACTCTTCTCCAAGTATAATTAGAATGATAAAGTCAAGGAGGATGAGGTGGGCAGGTCATGTAGCACGAACAGGGGAGATGAGGAATGCATAGGTGGGTGGACAATATTAGAATGGATCTTAGAGAGAGAGGATGGAATGGATTGGATAGAACTGGCTCAGGATAGGGAGCAATGGAGGGCTCTTGTGAACACAGTAATGAACCTTCGGGTTCCATAAAATGCTGGGAAATTCTTGAGTAGCTGCAGAATTGGCGGCTCCTCCAGAAGGGTGCAGCTCCACGAGTGAGTGAGTGAGTAAGTAAGTAAGTAAGTAAGACGACACATTGTTCTGGCTAGAATACTCAAGGTGATTGGTAAAACAGTCTTCAGCAGTATGAATGCCTCCCCTCCATAAAAAAATCCTGTCATGTCCATGCATAAATGTTACCATCACTGTCAGTCCTACTCAGCATCACTCCTCATGAGGTGTAATGTAGTCTAGTTGATGGCTAACCCAGTGTGATAATTTCAGTGGGCTGGCCCATGATTTGGATTAAAACAGGTAAACCATATAAGTCATAGGTGCAACCAGGGTGAAGGGTGACCTGAATCAAATGGGGGGGGGGATTTATAAAACTGGTCAATAATTTAGCAATGTTATGACTGTTATATATTGTAACCAGTACCTAATATGACATAAAGGTTTGACAGATTTAAGCTTACATTAAATTCAGGGACGTTATTTTGATCTATTGAGTTACAAAGATCAGCCAGAAGTTGCAGTTCATGCTTAGCATGTATGCCTTTTTGCCATATTTCTCCATATACTTATAGCATAGTGTTGTCCCTTCTCCTTCCTATTTTCACAGAATTATTGTTATATGCATCTAGAGCCATAGTGGTAAATGAAGCTCACCAGTGGCAGTCTTCAAAGACCCTGAAGATGAAACAATCGTAAAGTAGTTTTAGTTTAAAATACACTGTAAAGTTTTCTTTTTTACTTCATGTATACCTGTAAGGCAGCCTCAGCATTTTGAAGTTTGTGTTAGGAACGATTTGTTGTACAGGTTCAGATGTAGAAGTTTTTCAGTAGGACATGAACTCTGAGATGTGGGAAAATGACAGGCCTAATTATAAATGGGCCAGTGTTATTGAAATGGAACTTAACACATGATGTTTAAATTTTGTAAGGTGGGGTGAGACTGAGTCCACTTGGTACATTGACCACTAATTGGCCTGATGTACCAGCCTTGGATGATAGATGAATATGGAGCATTCGGTGGAATGAGAACTGATGGGAAACTGAAGTACTCAGTAAAAAACCTACCCAAGTGCCACTTTGCTCACCACAAATCCCGCCTGAGCTGTGACACAGCCCACAACCCTTTATGTGAACTCAGTCATAGCAGCTGAGACACTGATCTCTGTGTACCCCCCAATTTTTTTCCAGCAGCAAAGCTACTGCAGATCACAAGGCCATAGCTTGTTTGTCTCACCAAACCCACTGTACAGTGTGAAGGGAGCGCAATATATGGAAGATTTATTCAACAGTTATATTTTGTAACTGTTGCTCTCACTGCTCTTGGCAATGTAAAGTTGAAGCATAAAAATCTTTAAGATTTCGTTTGTTTTACTGTTGTATAAAAATATGCTGATGTTAAAGGATAAGGAGATAGTATTGTGAAGGAAAACGAAGGATGAAGTTTTCATGTCGTCTTCCCGAGAAGCTGCCTAGGTACCCTACATGAGCTTCAGTGGGTTCACTCTGAAGTTATTGTGACCTTTCTTGCAGAAAATTTGACAGCATAGAATACAAACATTTTAAGTCAGTTAAAACAAATAATTGAAATTTTGTTCTTTACTTACAGTCTTGGGGCTATGGAAAGAATGAAAGATTTAAATGGTTACAGTAAGAAGTAAGGAAGTGAGTTTAGAAATGGTCAGGAATTTTTTCATTTATTACTGCTGAGTACAAGGCAGCATGTTGAATACTGTTTTATTAAATAATCAGTATTTATAATCTGAATCTCATAAGATGGATCATGTCAATTTTTAATGTATGTTGTTTGTACAATAAAATATATCAGTGCCTTCAGTTGTCAGAATTATTTATAGTGCTTCATCACTAATACCATGTTACACTCACTTTCAGTGAATCAAGAGAGAGACTTTAATTTCCCAAGATAGTGATAGAAACATGCTGGTACAACCAACAATTCCAGTAATGCAGTAATGAGAACAAAGATTTAGATACAGTGCAACCCCCATTTAATTTTTTCTTGATTTGAGGGTCTCCCTCATTTAACAGTCCTATCAAATTGATGATTTCAGCATTAATATGTCCCTCTATGTATGATTCTCAGAGGGTTGAATCCACTGATTTAAACAGAAACTTTACATGGGGTTTCTCATATAATCAATCATCTGGTGTTGTACATAAGGAAATAAACACAATTCTTGCCATTCATTATGTAGTATAAGAATATGTGAATTATTGTGAAATATAGGAAGAAAGAATTTTTATAATTTCATGTTCCTGCAGAAATGTGACAAATTAACAGTTCTTGAAGTACAGTGCAGAGTAGCTGGAAGAACAAAAAGGCAGCAGACCATAGAATGTATAAATTTGTGTAAACCTTTTCACTGCTTTTCAGAAGTTTCTATTATGCGAGATGTGTATGTTGCACTTAAAGAAGAAAATAAACCAGTTACCTATCCCATAATATTATTTGTTTCAATACTGCAGTGTTACACCACTATCTGATTGTGACAGAAATCAATTTAGACCACCTTTTTTTGGCAAGCTGTATTTCAGCATTTGTGAGGTTGTGTGATGCCATACGGGAATTTTAGTTCTGGCATTTTTAATATGCAATAAGCATATTGGTATCCATAGTACGTGTAATAATGGGAAATATGTAAGATATTTTGACATCTATATTATGAAAAACTTAAAGGAAAATATAGCAATGTTACTCTTATCAATGTTTATGCTCCACCCAAAGATAGTGAAATAAATTTTAAAGAGCATTTGTATGATGAATTGCAAGAAGTGATGCTGTAATAATATCAGGTGATCTAAATGCCAAGTTGGGAAGAGAAGAAATATGTAGTAACATCTCTGGGAAATATACATTATTAATCAAATTGATCATGTCATTATTAATGCAAGTAAAAAGGACCTTATAGAAGATGTCAGAACAATGCAAGGACGTAATATAAACTCAGACCATTACGTTGTTAAAACGGTAATAAGGCAAGAATTACCTGTAGCATATGTGAAAAAGAAACTTAGTATAAAGAAATGGAACAAGATCATATTGCGTGATCTTCAAAAACAGAGACAGAACAGAATCGTATTACACAAAAAAACTGAGTGAAGTAAATGAATTTTCAAACGTAAATGAAGATTGGGAATTTATTCGGTCCAAAATCGTTGCAACAACTGAAGAAGTGGTAGGAACACAAGTCCAGGTACCTAGAAACAAATGGTGGGACGATGAATATAGGAGAGCAATAAAAAACAGAAACAAAGCAAACAGAGTCTGGTGGGGGGGGGAGGGATAAATGGCAGAATTCTACAAATTGAGGAAAATCATTGAAAGAATGAAACTATGAAGTTTTTTAATGACATCAGATTTATGAAAAAACACAGCAGTGCATTGCCAAGGATATATAGAGATGCTGATGGGAATTTAATAGTGCATCAACTGAAGGTATTAGAAAGATGGAAGGAACTGACGTGTTCACTTTGGCAGAAACGGACCAAATCCCCGATATTATGGATGATTCCATGAGTGATAATGACTTTTATATTGAACCTCCAACATACACTGAGGTATGTACAATAATAAACAAATTTAGAATCAATAAAGCTGCTGGACCAGACAACATTACCCCAGAGTTAATTAAATTTTGTGGACGAACACTGAAACGAAGGATACATAAGCTGATGCTGAAGATAAGGCAGGACACAGAGATCCCTTCACGGTGTGGGGAAGGAATCATAGCACCAATACATAAAAAAGGTGATAAATTGGCATGTCATAATTTCAGACCAATAACATTATTAAACATCTCATAACATTTTTGCAATTTACTGAACAATAGATAACATATTTATAGTTAAACAGATCTATGAAAAATGCTGTGAGTTTATTATTGATATCTATACCATATCTGTAGACTATACACAAACATTTGATTATGTTAAGAGGTGTCAAATAATAAATGCCTCAGAAAGTACAATGTTCCATCCAAACTATCAGATCAATAGCAGCAACTCTCCAAAATATGAAAGCAAAGGTTAAAATAAATGGGGAGCTTAGCGAAGGATTCCAAATAATCTGTGGAGTGAAACGGTGACCCATTATCTGCATCACTTTTCATCCAGTCAAGGGCAGTCTGCTCTTCGAAGGGAACTTAGAAATTGTCACTGTGCTCTGGTTCGGCCTACATATCAATGTGTAACTTCTGTAATCTACCTGAGTTCAATAAATCTACATATATCCTAGTTGGCTGAAGCTCTGTTGTAAACTGTTACTCGTTGACGGCACCCATGCAGAGCCTGGAAGGAGTCTTCACTCAGCTACATCGAATGACTTCCTGCAGCGGGACCCATGCCCTGGGAGCAGAGGATATGACAATTGATAAAAATTTTAACTAAATTAAATTATCCTATCTGTTTTAACTTCATTATAAAAAACAAATCTTAAGGCAGATATGCAGATTTTAAAGCAAAATTTGCAACATTAAAGATGTTTGTATTGTGAATGACGTATACCCTTTGGAACACCGGACAAAGGTTTAAATTACAGCTTGCTTTTTAAAACCTTAAAAAGTTTTAAATTTTAAAGTCTCTTCTACATCACAGGTGAATATATACATATTTTGACCAACATTGGTCAACTCTAGGTGCCTCTGAAATTGTTAGCGAAACTGCTGTTCTCCCATCCATAAGTTCAATTTTTGGGATATGCCCTCATCTATGTGCCCATGGGTCCCATGGTGATGGGTAAAAAGTAAAGCTATCCCTGTACCAGGCCGTGAAGGGCCATAGGTTTGTGAGACGCTGAGGGTCCCACACTATCTAGACAATCGGCTCAAAGATGGCGGTAAGGTTAGTTACTCTTATTGTGTCACGTGCAGCTGTTATGGGGCATATACACTTCACCTCCTCATTTGACTTTCAATATAAAGGTGGCTGCTATTAAATATACATCGAGGATCATGAGTTACGAAGAAATGCAAAGAATGCATTTGGTACTGTGTCTTCCAACATACATACCAATTCAGAATAATAATAAACAAGCATATAATCTGACAGTTCTTGGTGTTCTGCCACTTTAGGAACACAAAATTCAGCCATGAGGCATACATTAATGCGCACTCTACAGCGTCAGAGAAACCACAGCAACAGATATTACTTTCTTTAAAATGAAAAGCCAAAGTCTTGCTCAAAACAGCAGCTTTATTATCATCATAAGTATTACAAAATTAAACAGTTCTATGTGAACATCACATCTGCAGTAACAAATTAAACAGTACACTGAGTTACAGATATCAAAATTTGGAATGTCTTTTACCAGAAACAGGAACACATCAGTTCTGAGTATCCTGAAGAATATACATATATATAAATGAGACAGATGGTAGGTACAGCTGGAAACTAACAAAAAATATGTCAGAAAAGTATGAAATATATTTAGAGGACATACTCTTCGTTATTACCATTATATAATACTGGAGGACAGTCTCACTCCCAAAGTTTTCCATCCTTGTGGTTAGAACTTACTCAGCAATACATATCTTCAATTATACAATTTAGTAAAGACCTTAATTGTGAATATGTATATTCAAGAAGTGTTCTTTTTCAGAGGCACATTAACAAGGGGATGGAGGAAGACCAATAAACTAGCAACTTGTCACTAACAAATTACTTCACATGCATAAGAACAAACAAGAAAATTAGTTCTTGGATTTGAGGTTCTCACAACTGTGGCCATGAAGAGTACTATCTTCTGAGATGAACAGCACACAGTTGGCACTACATCCATTTTCAAGTCTTGCTGGTTTCTTTCTTGCATACTTTTCAACAGTGAAGACAGAGCAGTAGATCCCCCAAAAGTCAGTTGAATTCTACTAGACTACACAGCATTACACACCAGAAGATAATATTCTTCATGAAAATTAATGACCTCATGAAGTCATGTAATTTTTTTTTATTTTTCAGGGCCTGTAAATTCTGGGTATAATTGAAACTGGAAGCATAAAAAAACACACACAAACTTGTGATGAGCCAAAGAGACATGATCCTGCAGAACAGCAATATTTTACACAGACATATCTTAACACTTTTATTAAAAGATCAATATCATAACTTTGTGTCAGAGTCTAAACTAACTTTAAGATACATCATTGTAAATATCCACTGAATTTTATGATTTATGAAACACAGAAGTTGCAAAACTGAATATGATTATCACTCAATGTCACTTTCTGCAAAGCTATCATAATCATATAAGGATACTACAACATTGATGATAGATTTAAAAGATTCTTGCAGCGACCTGTATGCCACTATTAACATTAAAGCTCATGAAGGGATATCATTTGGTATACTAAGGATAAATTTGTGTTGAATCACGTGCACCAACCCTGAGAGTTTGTGATGGGAACAAAGGATGATGTTTTAAAAGGTAAAAGGTTGGGGCTACTATATGAACATGATCTCATGGTTATTACAGTTACATCTATGTTTGCTTGCAGAAAGAATATAATAAATTTCAGGACCTGTTGTATTAGAAAGAAATAAATACAATATTTAGTCAAACATTCAGTTTAAAACTAACATGCATTAGCAGTCAAAATAAAATAATAACGAAAGAGAGTATGCTAGTGCATACCGTCAGTTAAAATACAAAGTCTTTATGTGCATTTGGCACAGCCTCATGTTGCGATCTTCTGGGTTATGACACCATGCAGACCAGTAGGTGGTTACTAACATTTCAGAGGAACAATCTACCTCCATCTTCAGGCAGAAGGTAGAGGCAGCACACTCTTCCAAAGCATAAGTAACACCCTATCATACTATAACACAGTGTCACAATCCAGAAGACCACACTATAAATCCTCACTGCCTGAAACTTGTATCTATCTCTGAAAAATCCTGGTTACAGAAATGGGGTACCTAAGGGGGCATTTATATCACAGAACTGGTAATATCTGTGAATGGGACTTAAAATATACTGACTGAAATAGCTATAATCAAAACTGCTGAAGCAATGATTTACATGTTACTTTAAGTACCTCAATCCTGAAGCAGATGCAGTTTGTATTAAATTATGTTTTGTTCTTTGTTGGAAGCACAAGAGAGGCCCAAGTCTTCATCAACATCTTCCACTGGGCAGGAAGCCCTTCAGCCAGCTTTGTCTTGATCTGAGTTGGTACAGCTGTATAGCAGAAAGGACATTATCACAATGAACAACAAAATTTATATAAAAAAACGAAAACAAAAGAAAACAAAAAACCGCTGAAACAAAAGCTGTATATTTTTAAAGGTCTATTGCTACACACAATTTTGGAACCTTATGTGAAATGATTCCAGTAATGTTTCCACCTCAGATTTCACACAGCCTCCATATTGGTATTATTTATTACAGGAAATGCAAGTACACGGGTCTGATGTTCTCTAGTAGGACTGTGTTCATGAAAACTAACATGAAAATCCATCAAGGGTTCAGAAGTTACATTGGGGTCACAGACATATGAAGACACAAACTTCTCTCTATGCATAATGTATGGAGAGGAAACCAATAAAAATGCTCATAACCGAGAAAGTTCACTCAAGCTTCAGACTTGTATACAGGAAATATTCAGTTCTAATTTTGGGCCGGATACTGATGATCCTGACTTAGGTTCCTATTGGTTTTCCTCAGTCCTTCCAGGCAAATGCCGAGATACTACATCAAATTTGGGCACAATCACTTCTTTCCGCATCCTTTTCAATTTATTATTCAGCAATCATTCCATCATTTGAGCCTAAATAGTATGAGCTAATGAGTCACTGAATGAGCTATAACAAATAAACATTATTTTCCAGTAATATTAAATTAGAATACTTACTATTTTCAAGATCCACAAATGTGCCCATCAGCTTGTAGGTTTTTCCATTCTTGGTTTGAAAAGAGTTGTATGCTTTACGTTTCTTTACTATTTCAGTTGTATGACTTGTTTCTGTGTTTAATTCACTGCAACATACAAAATAAAATTCAGAGGTAAAGGTAAGTTAACATAAGTTGTCCCAGTGCTTAATTAAGTACCATGTCATGAAGATTAATGGGGAGTGGAGTTATGGTTTCAACATTCTTTAACCTCAGTTCTGGATGGAGGTGAGAGGTCAACATCATGCCATCAGCTACTTTACAAGTAGCCAAGTGTCAATCCGAGGTCTTTAAGTGTCAAATTGATTAAGCATGGCTTTGATAGTAAAGTGGCTGGATGAATAACATCAGAAGCCAAAGCTGCATTAGCATCAGAGAGAAACCTGGTAAGGTGTTTATAAATGCTGAACTGGTATGGATGTACACATGGCATTGTCTAACTGAAGGCAATATACCGCCATTCATTTGATTTTAGGCTTGTACAATACATTATTTCACCAATCCATATGCAATACACAATGTCTTCTGTATTTTGCATGCCAGTAGTAGGGTTACGCTGTAGCATTTCAAGAATGTTTTCCCAGTCCTCTACATGCTGTTGACGTGCTCGTCAGATGAAATATGAGCACACTGGGAGGCATATCACATTCACGAAATATATTAAATACATTGGGAAACATTACTATCCAGAATTCTGCGCATAGGAAACCACTGATGATATTCAACAACACCAGTAACACTATGATCACAGAAGCCATAAACATACAGCATATCAGTATATTCAACAACTGTGAAGATATGCAGCGCTTCACAACAGCCAATTGATGCTTCAGACCCCTCAGACCTTCAGACAGTGGTGCACTATGGCAGGATGGAATGATAATATTTGGTGCCAAATCCAAACTACTGTACAGTGAACTAGCTCTAGCTCAGAAACTGTCCAGAATAGGACACATGTACATATACACTTTTTTGCTAAGAATGACTGATACTATGACATCCCAGAATATTGGCCTTTCCTCCTAGGACACCTTGTATGTCTGAAAAGAAGTACATTCTTCACATGATTCAAAATCAGAAGTTTGCATACCTTCATAAAATCTCATCTCAAATGGTATGCTCCTATTGTGTGTTCTTAACAATTATATTAAATTTTAATGAGATTCTAAAGGGTTCAGATGATGGTGTATAACACTAAATTACTGGTTTCTGAACTCTGTCCATCATCCGGTATTCTAAAGAACACTAGACAACACAACATTTCAGAAGCTGGCTGTTTCTGGAACATTGTGTTCTCTAGTGTTTTTTAGAATACCAGATAATGAACAAAGTCCAAAAATCCAGTAATTCCAAACATCAAATTTTAATGTCTTATGCTCGTTTTTGCCACATCATGTTCTCACTAACCGCTGCATGAGTACCTGTGTAACCATTACACACTGTATTCTAACAATTCTTATGCCCTTTCATTCCTTTTTTCTACAAAGTTGAGGGAAGGTAAACAATAACCAACCACTATATAAAACCAGAAGTTTTCTATTACAACTTCTGCTATACTTCTTAAAAGATGCAATACAAATTACCATACCTTTTCACATAACCAGTTATTTTCAGATCACATCCATTTACAAGAATAGGAGTCCATTTTTCAAGAACGAGTTCTTGATTTTCCTGCATTGAAAACAAACACAATTAAAAACAAATAAAATAAATGTAAGAAATACATTAAATTGCAAAGAACTCCCTAGTTTTGAAATGTAATAAATCCTGAAATATAAAACAAAAGAGCTTTTATTTATTTTTGTAAAACATTGACAGGCCTTCAAAATTGAATGCCATGCATTAAATGGTTTGATTTAAGTGCCATTTACATAGCTGTGCAGATATTTGATTTCAGGCAAGCATAACAAAGCATATCCAGCGAGACTGTCACAGTTCTCTCTTACAGACGTCACAAATCATGATCTTCTTAGCACAGGCAATCATTTTGACACATGAATTATTTAAAATATGTGAAATCTGTAAATTTGGAGGCTTTATCTTTTGACCCTTTATTTATAAAACTTAGCGTCCAGAGCATGCAGACTTGAAGACTGAAATGAGAAGGGATCTTGTCTTTTAAAAAGCAATTTCAGTTGCATTCCAGGTTCAATATCATCCATTAGTTGGAAAACAATTTTAACACACTGGAATGTTTGCAGCAGTGGCTCCTTCTGCAAAATGGAAATGCTCCATTACTCGTACATTGTCATGCAACAATCCATTCCATATGTTCACTTCTGAATGTCATGCATGTACAGAATTCATATACCTGCTGTACTCCCCACATTCAGCAGTTCTTGCAGCTGATGTGACCATTAATGTGAAATGTGAAAAGCAGAATCCTCATCATCAGTTTCTTGCACCATAAAATTTACACACGACACATTCTGGGTGCAAATAGCCATACCTGTTGATGCACCTTTAAACCCACTCACACAGACACATTTCAGATAACCAGTAACTTTCATACTTTGATTTACTGCGCGTGTATCTCAGATTCTCATTCTGGATTGTTGCTTTGGGTAGAAACAGGATTCTTGGAGCTCTGAACATACAATTGCCTGATCTATTCCACACTGTCTTCTACAGTATGATGCCATTATAATGACTGCAAGTGGAACGTAAAGCAATTATCACTGTATGTGCAAATTAAAATATGAATTCATAATAAACTCCACAATTCATCTTCTTCCATTTTGTACAGCTTAATGGAGTCTCCAACCTCTTGTTATTCCTATAACCTTTCCATTTTGGCTTCTTGCCAGCTCTACCACCTTCCTGATGTCTTCCAGTATCATTTTATTCTGGGTCATCCTTTAAATCTCTTTCTATTAAATTTCAATTGTAATGCCCTTCTAGGTATTCTTGTTATATTCATGCTTTTTATATGGTTCAACTGTTGTAACCTTTTCCCTTCTAACTCTATTAACAAATTCTGAATTTCAACTTATCTCTAAAAATTTCACATCCATTGCTTGAATTTTGCTATTTTCGCTTTAAAAGTGTCCACGTTAGTACAGGTTTCAAACATATTTTATGGACTGTTGTTTTGTACCCTTATGATATGCAACTATAATTGAATGAGAGATTAATCCTACTTCTGTGGAGTTCTTTGCAATTACCGTTTATAACTGCAGTTACACCCAAATACCCAGGTTGTTTAGAAACCAAAAAGTAAAATTTGATAAGAGAAATTCTCAGGTGGNGGGGGGGGGGGGGGGTAATATCAGAAATGTAGACAGGTCACTGAGGAGGTAATTTATGTGGGAAGAGCTACGTTGCTAACCATATTCTACAAAAAGAAAAAAATGCTATGGTGAAAAACATAGATTTAGACCTTGGGAATTGGAACTGCAAGAGAAAATTTTTTATCAATATTGATTAAATGTGACTCTCTGAGAACTTACACTTAAAATGTTATAATTTTTCTTTGGTACTACAAATTCAATTAAAATTTTAGGATCTTTAAAGTATGGAATATTATTCCACTTTAATTTTTACGTAGTTAGAGTGGACTGCCATCAAGGGCAAAGTGAGCGTTTTTTTTACATGAAAAGTAAAGGTAGAGCACCACACCATGAAGACATATGGAAGGGTAAAGGTGAAGCATCACACGTTCTTAAACTTGACACTAGACAGAACTGAGCGAACAGTTTCACACTCTCACCACTATACTCCAGGGAAAGAGCCTAAGATAGCCACCAAACAGGAGGCTAAATGGGTCTCAGAGCCAGTAGATGTGGTGGAAACAAAAGTCTCAACCTCAGGCAGGAATTGATTCCTGGTTGTACAGACTGCAGCCAATCACTATACTGACTGAGCTACTCCAGTTTATATTTCACTCCATTATGGATGTATATTTTCTTCTGTAATTAAAATACAGTTTGGAGCTTATCAAGAAGGGCTGAGCTCTATGAGTCAGTTTAAAATACATGTACAAGTCAACCAACATTTGACTCCCTGTGACTCGAGAAGTGAACTACTCTGCTAACAAAGAGTTCTATTTTCTGAGATATAATGCCACGTAGTCCACTGGAAATCAACATACGTTTTGCAGGCACAAGTTGCCAACTTTCGATGGACTATAAGGCATTATATACAAGACAAGAGAACCCTTCGTAATCACTGCTGTGGGAACCTCGGAATCCTAGATACTCTACTGTGCTATGTGAAGCGGTGACACTGCCTGACTGTAAGGGTCTTCCTTCCTCTCACACTTCCTGCCCATAATCATCATTAACAAGTGTGTATCAACAGAACAGCGCCTCACCAACCAGGGGCAATTATTGGTTGGCCACATTACGTATACTTACAAAAATATCAGCTTCAACGTTATCCTTAGCAGCTTCATTATCATTTGGATCTACTGAATTTTTAACTGTGTCAGGAATATGTATAACAGGATACGTGCTAGAACCTGCCCCTTCTCTAGACGAGTCACTGCTATTCTCATCTGTATCCCCTGATGTTAACATTTCTTTAACATTCAAATCTGTTCTGGCTTTGATCACTCTGCCAATATATCTTTCTTGGATTGCTCCTGACTGTGACTCTTTCAAATATTCTTGCCCTCCCTTGTCTTCAGAAATCGAAGCTTTGGCACAATCTTGCACATCCATGGAAAGTGACTCTTCAGTTTTCTCACAATTCACTGGAATTTTGTGTAGAGAAATGTCACTTCTTCTTGGAGAAGTTAAATTTACAAACACAGTTCCATTTTGGCACAATGTGTTTTGTTGGGCAGGATCTTCATGCACTGCTAAATCCGAAACACGTTCAACAGTTTCTACTGTCCAACTGAAGTCACATGGGCTCCCTAATGCAACAAAATAAAAACATTATTAATGTTCATGTTTTGTATACAACTTCATTTCATATCTGCTTCAATCAAATTAATATGCTTTGAAATGATGATATGAATGACTACAAAATATATTTTCCCTGAAATATTACAAAATCTCATTGCAATATTTTTATGATAGACATTGCTCTCAACTGTGCATCCTATGGCATAAGTAAAATTAGGATTAAATTCCATCAAATGCAACAAGTTTTTTAACAGTGTTCTTTAATTCCAATTCTACTTACAGCTCAGTGCAGTGTTCTCATATATAGTGTTTACCTGTGTACAGCGCTTAAGTTTTATGGTTGCAGGCATAGCAGTGCTTAAGGAATGTTTTCAAAATATATCAACTTCTTTCCACGATGTAGGCCTGTCTACTGAATGTAGACAGTTTGATCAGTAACTGATCTATTACATCAAAATCCACATGATGATTCCCAATAATTTCATCTGCATAGAGAATTAATTTTGAGAGAATACTGGGTAAGATCTTCTATGAAGATGGTAACAATAGTATCCCTCGACAATTATTAAGTTCCGTTTTATCGCAACTCTTACCAATAGGTAATAATAATAATAATAATAATAATAATAATGGATTCCTTCCACTGCTGGGGCAATTCTCCCTTATTCAAAACACAATTACTAAATTAATGGACCTCAGAATATGTTTCATTGCTTGAATGGACTACCTCTGCCACAATTTGATCAATACCTGGTGATTTACAGTGTTCCAACTTTTCTACAGCGATCCTACCCTCAAAAATACTAAGCATGGGTACTAACGCTTGAGCTGTCTGTACTAGTGTGCCTAACTTCATTAATCCCATGTACAGTCAATAAGTGACATATGTAATTCTTCCAACAATTCAAAATATTGGCGGAACCTGCTAGCAGATCATTCTCCTTCTATCAATTCATCATATTTATTTAAAAAGGAAGCTGCAAACATAGTTAATTATAACAGTATTTGAATACTGTTCAGTTAGCCCTTTTCAGCGCCTTTAATTTTAAATAAGCTCAGTAAAGAAGTAACACTTATAAGTATCCCTCACAAAAACAATGATATCAGTATTCTAGGTGGAAGACCTGTGACTTATGCCTGATGTAAGGATGTTTCCTCCACTCTGTCCACTGCCTGGAGTGACAATTTTAAAGTGTTTTGGCAGCTGGATCTGTAAAACGAGGGAGAGGAAATACTACTCAGGCAGGCCTGCTCTTACATCTGCTCCCTGTTTACAGTTTGTTAAACATTCAGACAGAGCCTGTCTGCAAAATGCTGCACACATAACCTCCACTCCAAACAACAGACTGTTCAACAGTTATACAGTAAACTGCCAGTTATCTAGCATGTATGGGGAACGTGGTGTGCATGGGGCAGGGAGGCAGACACTTTTCAGAAGTCAAAACAACAAGTTTTTGCTTTCATTCTCACATGGAATTCTTCATAAGCTAGACAGAGAATTTAAGGGTGAAAGATATCTGATATGCTGTAACACAATCGTAGAATCAACTAGCCTCTACTGTAATGGCACCTGTGTGAGGCAGGAAAATGGCCAGCAGTAATAGTGTGGTGGGTGAACATATGTACATCATACCTTTGTTTCTGAAGGTACTTTATAAAACTGGTAAATTTTCTCTGAAATTTTCACCACTTGCATGAGAATTCTGGATGTCTGGTTATTACCAGGGCCTGGATTTTGATGACATGTCATCTTTTTTTTCCTTGTATCCTATGTGATGCTCTTAAATATATAAATCTCGGATATGAGCTGCTGGTTATATAAACGTAAATTTTATAGGTAGTTTTTGTCATTTTTTGGTTTAAGGTCATTTTTTTTCATTTTGGGAGCAATTTTTTGGACTTTTAAGGGTATTTCTTGTCATTTTTGGCCATTTTAGGGAATTTGTCTTCATATGTTTTCTGAAATGTGAATAATATGGAAGCAAAGTGTTCTTTCTCTTTCTCCTTTAAGTCATTTTTTCTGGATTTTTTCGGTCATTTTTTTAATATTTTCAGGTCATCAAAATCTGGGCCCTGGTTATTACATAACTGAGAGTATACTGAACCATGAAACCAGACATTCAGGATGACTTTAATCTTTCTCTAATTAATACTTTAGGACATGAATTTACCTTCTTTTACATATTTAATCCACTTGCATTTCACTACCTTCCAGTCATCTGGGAATCCATTTTGGAATTTGTTCCTCACATAATATGGCAAATCTGAAATCATGTAAAGTATGTTTAAAATATAACTTAGAGATCTTTACTGGAGACATCTTGAACAATTAAACAAAAAAGGTAAAGCTATCCCTATAACAGGCCATGGAGGTACATATGGTAGTGAAATGTCAAGACTCCCACATTTTCTATACAATCGGCTCACAGATGAAGTTGTCAGCCTCATGCGCCGGCTGCCCTTTACGCCCAGGAGGATTCCTGGTACTCATTCCTGTTAGAGGCTGAGTCGACCCCAGGGCCATAGTGCAGCTAGGATTAGGTCAACTGAAAAATCCAATGACCTCATTGGGAATCAAACCCACTACCTTCTGGCTTGTAGCACAGGGCCTCAACCAACTATGCTACCACATTCCCCCATCTTGAACCATTACTCCTCTTAATACAAAAATAAACAGTAGAAGTACAGCAAGTGTAACTATGATGATTGCCTCTACATGTAGTGGACATCACTGGCTATCATCTTTAACTGTCCCCTTCACTGATGGCTGCAGGCTGTCTTTGTCAAGCGTTATGGGGTACTTGATGTAACTTTGTTGTGACGACCCTCACCTCTCACTGCTGCTAGGTCCAGATATCTTCCTGTTATCACTCCAGCCAACTTCCGCTAGCTCGTTGTGGAATGAGTAGGTTAATTTGGGAAGGCAAGGAGTGAAATCTGGGTGCCAGTAAGCTTACTTGGGTAGCTTACAACTGCGAGGACAACTGGGCAAGTGAGTATCAAGTTCTGTCTGGTTTGCTCAGGTAGAGATGGACTCCATCTTAGGGCGTATCAAGCCTCAATCTGGCAGGATAGGAAGAAGGTGATGTTCATTATTTTCACGAACACTTTAGCTATACCAGAACGTTTAATTATTATCTGTTGTGCTTGTAATACAAATTGCATGGCTTAGAACACTACTTAATTTATCCTTCCTGGGCCTTATGTTAATTTGGTATCTTAACAATGTTCTAGTAGTAATTTGGTGATGCCAAGACACAGTTTCGTGTACGCACCACTCAGAATCTGGGAAACGACTCTCTTGGTGAATGGGCTCTCCAAAGTTGTCCACTCTCTCTGAGCCCAAACTTCCAAGAGGAAGCTCCTCGCTGAATCATGCTCTATTGGTCCAGTTTAAATTCTGGGAGTTCTCCAGAAATTCACATTTACCAATGAAAATGACTCTCAGTCCTTAATTACATAACTGCCCTTTTAGCAGCTTCATGATAAATTCCTCACGGTAGTATGGGTGTTTGGACCATCTACCACTTGAGTGACAAATAGCAATAACTGTCAGCCCTCCTTTTCTCAAAGGAATACTGCTCTAATTCGACAGCACAATTCAGGAAGTGTAGCGAATGCTACATCCTGTCCATCCCTCAAGAATGAATCCATGTCACTCCTGAATGTAGTGTGCAATTCTAAACTCAAAATTGGGACTAAGTGCTAATTTATCTTAAGTATAATTTATACTTAATCTTTCTTAATTAGGCTAATTTACAGTATCTTAGCTCTAATGAATGGTTACACATCAGATGGCATAACCTACATCACAAACGAATTAAGTCCCTCTGTGATATTACAGTAACAACCTCTGCTCAACAATAATATATATATTGTAACGTGTTACGTCACTGAATACGCCGTAGAGATCGTTAACTGGTTTATTTAACAATCTACAAGTAACGGCTACAATTACTTATCTCACAGTTGCGGGGTTTCACACTTTATAACCCTACAACAAAATCTCTTAACACTGTCTTCAAGAGTCTTCACGTATTAATAACGCGGGAGCTATACAAGTCTCCCTGAAATACACACCCCGAGTATAACTGTACTACAGCACTCACTATGTCTTGAAAGCACACAATAAGTCTTCCGCTCGCTGACTTCTTAGTTATCGCACACTCACAGGCTGCTATGTTTTAACTCGGAAATGTCTTCAGTACAACTGAAGTCGCCGACTGCTACAGTAGAACTGACTGGTAGCTGCTGTGCAGCTCACTTATATAGCTGCAGTGCTTGCCTGTTGCGTAATGAGTGCCACGTCACAGTAGGAAGTTGATTACGGGTACGTAGCGTTGCGCGTTACGTCACCGCGGAGGGGTGGGAGGGAGCGTTACGTTATTGCCACGCGCCTGTGGCCTGAGTTGCCACGTTTCAGCTGGGTAAGGAGGGGTTCTCCGTTGCGCAACATGTTACAATATAATAAAATTCTTTTGTAGTGTTGGCTACATCTCCTGATGATGATGAATAATGCCCAGAACATGTAATTTAGTTACTCTCATTAAGTTAGTTACACTTAATGAACTTCTGCTACTTATATGTATAACTTCGAGTAATCACAAACTGGTATTAATCTTAATATTAGATTTCAGCATTCTGTTGGACTGAAGTAGAACTCATGTAGCTTCTCTTCCGTCTATAATACAACACCCTTTTTATTTCAGATGATACCAAACTTACATTCAACTCACTAAAATGTCAGTTAAAACGTCAATATACATAGGTAAGACAATAAGTAAGTTACAAATGGATATAGAACTTAAACAAATATGAGTAGTGATTTGAAAAATGCTTTTATTGCTCAACATAATCTCCCTGTACATTGAGGCACTTGTCCCATCGTTTCACAAGCCCATGAAGACCAGCAGCATAAAATTCTTTGGGCTGCTGTCAGAACCAGGTGGTGACTTCCTTTTCTACAGCTTGTTGGTTTTCAGGGGCTTGAGAAACGATGGGACAAGTGCCTCAATGTACAGGGAGATTATGTTGAGAACTAAAAGCATTTTTCAAATCAGTACTCTTATTTGTTTAAGTTCTATATCCATTTGTAACTTACTTATAGACTTACCCTTGTGTATATAATCATTCTATGTTTGGCTACATGTTTCAGCCTCTTCAGGCAATACATTTTGATAGAATCTACTGCACTATGCCCGCTTTTGTCAATAGTACTTGTACAGTAGAGTACAGTAGACTCTTGATTAACTGCAGGACTTTTAGAACCTCCTTAATCACTGATTAGCTTCCTGTAATGATGTACGTGTGGCCAGTTCTATAATATGCACCAGACATGCTTTACCATGATTTATTACCATGTTGGAACTTTCATTCTATTATTTTTGTTGCTTTCTGTGCTGGCCTAGTACCACTGTACATGGGCTGTCTTCATCTACTGGAAAGATATATCTCTTGATGTTTACTGATGACAAGCACAACCAGGAAGAAATAAATTATTTTCATGGTTGAATGCAGCATGGATTGTGGGTATTTCCATAACTTTGAATTATATATTGTCTATAATTATCCACATTATTTCTCCCCTCACATTACTGCAGATAAGCAAGAGAACGCTTTATCTCATTAAGTCAACTTTTTGTCATTGGTAAGTAACTTGACACCAGGGAGCGAAAATGATGACCATCCTTGCTATATTGTGTCATGTTTATGATATCAACACAAATGTTTCCACTTTTTAAATGTCCTACTTACTTGTAAAATGATCTGGCATACCAGTCAGTACATACATTGAACCATCAGCATGAAGCAATGTATTTGCATCAATCCGTTTGCAATATGATACATCCCTTGACAGCTGTATTGTATTCCTGCAAGAAAACAAAACTCAGATGTGACACAGCACGCACAGTACTTTTTAAATGACAGCTTTCAATGCGGGGGATTCCATAAAAAACTTCTTATGTGCACAGTGACAGCAAAATTGGCCGATGTGGCAGGTGGTGAGCTACAGTCAGGCAAACATTTGAACTTCAGCAAAAACTACCAGCCCTCTTGCAGTATGAACACCGAAGGATAAATCTGGCAGGTTTGCCTTTTCACTAGATACTGACTATTGCCCTGTCTGTGCTCTCCCTTGTACTGCACACATTTGTCTTATTTAACTTCATTCCTAATAAAAATACAAGTGTGCAGATCGATACAGTAATTTTAATACAACACGAAATAATTTCATATTTGACAATCCTGTTTACTGAGCTCTTGGCTGCTTATATCGTGTGTATGTAAGCAGTACCGGCCGTGCCATAGCTCAAGCGGTTAGTTGCTGGCTTCCCACCGCGGTGGCCCAGGTTCGATCCCGAGTCTGGTCAAGTGGGATTTGTGGTGGACAAAGTGGCGCTGGGGCAGGTTTTCTCTGAGTACTTCGGTTTCCCCTGCCAATCTTCATTCCACCAGTTGCTCCACAATCACCCTCACCTATCATCTGGGGCTGGTACAATAGGCCAGAAGTGACCACAGTACAAGGGACTTAGTCCCACCCCACTTACAATAAAAAAGAAATGTAAGCAGTACTACCAACATTTTGGTGGTAACTCCTACCTCTGTCTTCAGGAATAGGGTGTGTTAGGTGGGTGATGTTATGAGAATTTTACTCTCGTGCATAATTTTCATTAAATTTACTTAAAATCCATAAAAAATTACCAAATTCTAACAAACATAAAGTGTTTGTTTACCTACTTATTTATTTACATCACCTCACCAAGTAAGCAGCTTATCAAACAAACAACTGAACACCAGTATTTGCCAAAATAGATCCCATTATTAAAAATATACTTACTATGTATGTTTACTGCAGGTAAATACAAGGTACCCCTCACATTACAGATGTTTGGGTTATGGAGTTTCATCTTTACGAATATAAAGCATGACCATAAAGTTCATAGCTGATCACAGTAGTTCCACAATCTAAGGCATGAAATGTCTTCGCCCACTCGAACACTGGGATCGTGGGTTCAAATCCCACTGAAGCCATGGATGTTTGTCTGCATTTATTCTGTATTTGTATTGTCCCGTTTAGGTAGTGGCCTTGCAATGGGCTTATCCCCCATCCAAGGAGCTCTACCGACTGCCTTAGATTAGGAAAACTGAAGTGAAAGGAAGCATTTAATTGATGTCCTATGCTCCAAGTGGGAACAACAGGAACAAAGAAAGTTAGATATAAAAATTCATAACACACACAACAAATCTGTCCTTATATAAATTTGGGATATTGATTTTTTTAAAGAAAACATCCAAAACAACAACAAATTCAGCCAAAAATATTTTTTAACACCCGAATGTATTAAGAAATTCAGATCATTACAATCTAATTTTATTGTGTGCAGCATACTGTGCCCTCATTTAGGCTAGATTTGTAGAAGGTAAATTTGTTCCTGTCCTTAATTAATTAACCATCATGCCACGAAGACATATGGCAGAGTGGAGGTAGAGCTCCACCATTCTTGACTTCGGTACTAGACAGAGAAGAGTGGTCAGCTTCACACCTCTGCTGCTTTATCTCCAAAGAAGATGCCCCCAGTATCCATTGGATAGGAGGCAGGGTAGACATCAGAGTCAGTCTGGATGCTATGGAGAAGAGAAAAATTTTGCCCCTGCCGGGAATCGAAACCTGGCCATCCAGCCTGTAGCCTGTTGTTATACTGGCTGAGCTATCCCACCTCCAAGGCTACATGTGTACCTATTATTATTTATTATAAGTAAAAAAAGTGTGTTTTTATTACAAATGTGAACAGAAAACATTTCTGTAGAAACACATCTCTGCCCATAACATGGGAGCTCTTGGGAAAGTATGATCCGCATTATAGAATTTCACAACACAGATAATGTATTGTAATACTCACTCATTTGTTTTCCCTGTGATGAGAAGTTCATTACTGTCTGTTAGTTGCAGAGACCAATCTCTATATTCAGTTAAACTTCCATTCATTTCACTGTCCTGTCCTCTTGATTCATTTGCATCGTTCATTTCCTTCATTCCTAAATCTTCAGTGCCTTCACATTTCTGAACCACATCATTACTACTGACTCCATTCTGTACCAAAAATGTAAACAAACAAATTACTGTCTGTGCCTCCTAAAGAGAGACTTCTAGCTAAGAATTACAGCTACTACAAGCACATGTACAATTGCCCTTTGGCATTACAAAACACACATTTCAGTGAAACTGTAAATATTCTGCTCGAGACTTCCATTTAGCAAATATTTCTTCCTTCCTGCTTACATCACGTATAGTGAAGGCAAGAGGTAAAGCTTTCGCTGGACTTAATTCATTAAGCACCATGCCACAAAGACTTATGGCAGAGTGGAGGAATAGCTCCACCATTTTTAACCTCAGCACTAGATGGAGGTGAGTGGTCAGCTTCATCCCCAGTACTCACTGCATATCATGGACCCCAGAGCCAGTTTGGAGATTATGGAGAATAGAAAATTCTCTTTCCCCTACCAGGAATCAAGCCCTGAAATATCTTCATTTCCTTTCTAGCCACCAATAAAGATGTGATAATTTCTTTACTACAAAACTGAATTTAGTCTATGCGACATACAGATTATTTTCAAAACATTCCATCTTCTGGGATGTAACACTGCGCAGTCTATTGAAAGTCAACCAACATATTGGAGGTACATGTCACCACCATCTTCAGGTTAAACAGTAACCCAAGCAAGAAGCCAGCATGATATAGATAAGCAAAGCCCTGGTTGAATTTCAATGGACTACACAGTGTTATAATCCATAAGATAGAAGAACGCTTCATAACCACTACTGTGAGAACCTCAAATCTTACACAAACTATTTTCAATTGGTACATAGAGTATTTGTGACAAATTTCATGATATGAATAGGTCTGTAAGTGTTCAAGTTTTCAGTGCAGTGAGTGTTAAAATTATGTTCTTCTGTACTGTGATTTCATGTAGTCTAGTAGATGGAAATCAGCATTATGGAGGAACATGGCGGTATCCACCAACAAGACTATATGATAACAAACAAATGTATGCTTCAGCCAAACAAGAGATTTATCAAATAAAGGTTATGTGTTTCAACATCAAATGCTTGCTGTCGTTAGAATATTTATTTGTGAATGTACAGGGTGTGTCAATGAATCGGGCGATTTTAAAAACGTTATGAACAGTAAACTATTGTATTTATTTGGTTTCTAACACATATGAATACAGTGTAAGCATATAGGCATTTGGTTTTCCACAATTAACTCAATGACAACAGAAGTCTATTTCCCAAAAATAGCATCCAACAGATGACCGCCATTCCGCCATAGGCACTCGGTAAGTCTCTTCCTAAAGTCACTCATTACTCTTTGCAGCATCTCTATGGGAATTTGTTCAACTTCTTTCCGAATTCGATGTTTCAACTCCTGAACTGTGTGGGGTGCTGGAGCTTTGAAAACTTTGGATTTCAGATTCCCCCCCCCCCCGAGAGAAAGAAAATAACATGTGGAAAGATCAGGTGATCTGGCTGGCCATATGGTGTCCCCATATCTGGAGATAACATGGTTAAAAAACAGGTTATTCGCAGCTGCCATGGAAGCTCATGTGGTGTGGCACATAGCCCCATGTTGCTGGAAAAACGTTTCTTCCTTGACTGGAAGACGAGGAAGTCCAGGAGCTAAGAAGCTCTCCAACATGTGAACATAACATGGTCCAGTCACAGTTACAGCCCTTTCCCACTCATCTTCAAAGAAGCATGGGCCAATAATTCCAAACGAAGATATCACACACCATACTGTGACTTTGGAACTATGAAGTGGTCTCTCATAAATTTCTTTGGGGTTTGTGGTTAACCATAGTGGAAATTTTGCTTGTTAACAAACCCCGACAATTGGAAATGAGCTTCATCGCTCATCAGTAAGTTGTTAATGACATCTTGGTTTTGATTAATCAACTGCAAAAAGTCGGGCAGAAATCAATTCTGTTTTCATATCATGTTTGTATAGTGCATGAGTAATTTGAATTTTATAGGGGTAGAAGTGGAGATCTTTATGCAAAATCCGTTGAAAGCTGGCTTTGGACAGCCCAAGTAATGTAGTGTGGCAACACAAAGATTGGCATGGACTGCGTTCAATGGCTTCTCTCACTGCCGCTACATTCTCGGGTGTATGTGCTGCTTTTACACTACCATGTTTCTTCTTTAGTGTAGAACCAGTAGCCTCAAAGTTTTGAACTTTCATGGCATGGGCAGATGGAACAGCACGGTTGCACTGAATACCAAACTCTCTTCGAAATTCAAGCTGAGCGATCACGAAATTGTCACCGTTTGTGTAAAATGTTTTCACAGAAGAAGCACCTTGTGCTCCAGTCCAAGGCTCCATTGTAACTAAACGCTTTGAAGCGGGCTGCTGGGTGTCAGTAGTGGCATCCTCCCCAATCCAACCAATCCAGGAAAAAACACCACTGCCAAATTGCCCAATTCATTGATGCTCCCTGTATAACGGGAGTTTACATCTTAATGTTGACAAATATTAGTTATATTTATGGATGGCCCATCTGCACATCTGTGATGTATAAGTACTTGGAGAAAACCCACCCTACTGCCACTTTGTCCATCATAAATCACACAAGAGCTGACCTGGTATCAAACCTGGGCTGTTGCAGTGGGAAGCAAGCAACTACCACCTAAGTGAGTAATTTTATGGGGTGACCTTGATAGGCAGGAAGTCATCTGTAGAAAATTATATGTACAGTGCCACAAAATAAAAAAAAAAACTTATTGCTATTAGAATTATAAAACTATTATACCATGTTTCCTCAATATTTAATTGTATGAAATGGATTAGGCAATTTCAAAAGTTTGGATAAAATATTCTTCTCTGATTTTTAAGCTCTATGCTTATTCATGGGAATATCTCCCATTCCACTCTTACACATCAGAATAATTTTAGCCTATTTATTTCCGAATAATGCAACAGAATATTACCTGTAAATACAATTTTATAAAAGAGTACTAGGGGCACTGGTGTGTGTTCAAGTTCTTTGCTAAACTTAAAACTAAGAAAGTATTCATCACAAGAATATTAATACATACTGTATAGCGATCATTTTCTCTTGTTTGTGCCCACAAACTCTCTCTTCCCATCTCCACAATCCACTGAAAATTTGAAAAATACCAGGAAACAGTTAACACTCAAATGGTAAAATCTTTAATACTGCTTGCCAGTACAGCTTAACATAAACTTTTGTTTCAAAAAAAAAAAGGCCAATAAAGCAAAAATAATAATCTTAGGTGGAAAGATGTACTTCAGTCTGGAGTGAACATGTGTATTCTTTGTGGTTTTGCATGGCTACTGACCTTGGTGCTTACTGCAGATATGAATATACTGTTGAAAAGCTAATCACCGCACACAGCACACAGAGTATGACAAATTATTTGCCCTTCTAATTCATTACATGCACACCATAGTGAAAAATGTGTGAATTAAGAAAAATCAAAATTTGATTCAAGATTGATAAAAATTTGGGGCTATGCCAGAAAATAAAAAACAAAATTAAATTTGCCTGAAACTGTTCACTGTATATTCCCAAGCATTTTCAAAGTTAAATCATCTGGATGGATGCCTTTTACGTTACATGTTCACTTTAGAAAATTCATTGAGTGAGCACACAAGAAATAAGGTCTAGAGACATGCAAATCTTAAACAACAAACAAACAAAACAAACTGTGATTTTAGCCAGCTAGCGAACTATACCAGCTGAGGAACCACCGCTTGTTGGCGAAGTTAGTGTCAACTTTTGCAGATGGTGGTCAGTTGCGTGGTCACTGCAACGAATGTCCACGGCCGTTAATTTCAGTTTTCTAGACCAGAGCTGCTATTTCCTTGAAACAGCTCCTCAATTATCTCACGAGGCTGAGTGGACCCCATTCCAGACCCCCTACTTCTCAGAAAATATCTGGTAGTGCCAGGAATCGAACCCAGACCTCTGGATCCGTAGCCAGGAACTCTGACCACTAGACCACAGAGGCGGTCTAATCTTAAACAACAAAGATGGAAAATTACATTTTTATAGTATTCTACATATGTACACATCTTGGTTAAAAAAAATATGCTTATTGAAGAGAAAGTTCACGGTTCTGTTTCTTCTTTCCTGGAAAGCAGATCAAATTAGTAAAATGTGACAACCTGATAAAGATACTCTATGAGTTCACTAGAAAAGTGTTCCCAAACAGCATGTAAAAATAAATAAATCAATAAATTAAATAAATAAATAAGCAAACAAATAAAAAAAAAAAAGAAACTTAATATTTATAATTCTATGGAAGAAGGTTGGACCACTTTGATATCTAAAAGCTGTTTATCTGCAGCAACTTAGAAAAGAACAAACCTAATATGTTCAACAATTTTTTGCAGCTTATTTCACAACACTCTCAGTATCTCAAAACATACAGTGTTGAATTGTAGGCCGATTAGCGAATATTCAATTCAAAAGGCTTTGAAAGGGAGCATTTGTGACCTAATCACTGTAGCATCCTGGCATTTAACTGGAGGGACTGACGAAAACCACAAAAAACCTTAGTCATGGCAGCTAGTGTCACATCTCAGATTTGAACCAAGCATCTCTCAAACAAAAGTGCAGAAAGTTACCGTTCATGCATTGTTACAATGCACTTCTAATAATGAAATAATACATCTAGGTACTGAGGATTACAGACTAACATTATTAAACATGTGTCATAATTAATCGGATATGGGACCATTTATACACAAATTAACTTCACTAAAAACTGAAATACTCTATGAGAAAAGGAGGAAAACGGAGACAAAACAGATGCGTGGTGCATTTTCACCAACATGACATCAAACCTAAAGTGATATGTGCTGAATCATGACACCTGTGTTTCAAGTCAACCATGAACAAAAAAGAATGAGAGGCTGGCATGTTACTGCACTGAGCTTTTTAAATTCATTTTACTAGCTATTAGTGGGAGTACAGGAGGTCAGATGGGACGGAGGTGGTATCGAACCAGCACGCGAATATACATTTCTCTAACGAAAGAGGAATGAAAATCATGAATTAGGTATAGGTTTTTTCTTACATAAGAGAATCGTATCAGCAGTTAAGAGGGTAGAATTTGTTAGTGATAGGAGATCATATATAATACTAAAAGGTCGCTGGTGTGATATCATCGTTATGAATGTTCACACCCCAACAGAAGATAAAACTGATGACATAAAGGACAAGTTCTATGAAGAACTAGAACATGTATTTGATAAATTCCCGAAGTACCCTTTGAAAATTTTATTAGATTTCAATGCCAAAGTAGGGAGGGAAGACATTTTCAAACCAACAATTGGGAATGAGAGTTTGCATGAAATTAGTGATGACAATGGAGTTAGAGTAGTAAACTTTGCAACATCAAAAAATCTTACTGTCAAAAGTACAATGTTCCCACATTATAACATCCATAAATTTACTGGGACATCTCCTGATGGGAAGATACACAATGAGATCAACCATATTTTGATCAACAGGAGACAGCATTCAAGTATACTTGATCTCCGATCATTCAAGGCAGCAGATTGTGATACTAACCAATACCTGGTGGTGGCAAAGGTTAGAGAAAAACTGGCGAGTGAGCAAACAATGCATAGAGTTCATAAGGAGAGGTTCAATCTCAAGAAATTAAAAGAGGTAGAGGATAAGGAGCAGTATCCTGTTGAAATCTCAAATTGGTTTGAAGCTTTAGAAAACTTAAGACATTGAGGTGGATGTTAAAAATTTTGGGAAACTATTAGAGAGAATATAAAAATTTCTCCAAAAGACAGACTAGGTTATTATGTACTGAAGAAGCATAAGCTATGGCTCAACAGATGATGCTCAAAATTATGAGACCAAAGGAAAAGAGCCAAACTGCAGTGGTTATGGAATCAAAGCAAAATAAATGGGGATAATCTGAACAATATAAGATGTGAAACCAGCAGGCATTTCAGGAATAAAGAGGGAATATCTGAAAGAAAGAATCAATGAACTTGCAATGGACAGTAAGAACAAGAACATTAGAGACCTGTATAGAGGAATAAATGACTTTAAGAGGGGTTACCAACCTAGCAGTAACTTAGTGAAGGATGAGAATGATCTGCTTGCAGATTCCCATGACATTTTGAATAGGTGGAAGAACTACTACTCACAGTTATTGAATGTACATAAGGTCAGTGCTGTTAGGCAGATAAAAATACATACAGCTGTGCTGTTAGTATCTGATCCTAGCCTTTCTGAGGTTGACACTGCTATTGCAAAATTGAAAAGGTGTAAATCGCCAGGTAGTGATCAAATTCCAGCAGAACTTATTCAAGCAGGAGGTGAAATATTACATTCTAAGATCAATAAGCTAATTAATTCTATTTGGTATAACGGAAAATTGCCTGATCAGTGGAATGAGTCTATTACTGTACCGGTTCACAAGAAGGGTGATAAACTGACTGTAGTAATTATCAGGGGATATCACTGCTATCAACTTCATACAATATTTTATCCAACATTCTTCTCTCAAGGTTAAGTCCATATATAGATGAAATTATTGGGGATCATCAGTGTGGGCTTAGATGTAGCAGATCAACTTCAGATCAGATCTTTTGCATTTGTCAAATACTGGAGAAAAAATGGGAGTACAATGAGACAGTACATCAGCTGAAGAAAGTCGTCTTCTGGGTTTAGGCGCTGTGTATTCTTCGTTTTGGCCGACATTCCTCCGAAACGTCAGCCAAAACGAAGAATACATGGCGCCTAAACCCAGAAGTCAACTTTCTTCATAGTCATCGCCGTGAAAACCTCAAAACTTACATAGTACATGAGCTATTCATTGACTTCAAGAAAGCCTATGATTCAGTTAGGAGGGAAGTATTGTACAATATTCTGATTGAGTTTGGGAAACCCATGAAACTGATTAGGCTGACTAAATGTGTTAAAACGAAACGTATGGTAAAGTCTATATAGGTAAACAGTTGTCTGATAAATTTCCTATCCAGAATGGTCTAAAACAAGGAGACGCTTTATCACCACTCCTTTTCAACTTCGCTTTAGAATATGCCATTTGGAAGGTCCAGGAAAACCAGGTGGGACTGAAATTAAATGGGACACATCAGCTGTTGGTCTATGCTGACGACGTGAATCTACTGGGTGATAATACAGATACCATAAAGAGAAACAGACAATGAATTTGATTTGTTTCATTCTGGTCCGTCACACTAATATTATGAAAACACTAAATAGTTCTAGTCAGTGTGACTGGTTAAGATTTTATTTCAATTATTCACGCCCTTACATGTTTCGATCTTCAGAGAGACACCTTTACATCAGTACAGTTAGAAGCCACTATTACAGTCCATGTTCTAAAAGTTAAATGTATATTATTTATATTGTATGTATATATTTTAACTTTTAGAACATGTACTGTAATAGTGGCTTCTAACTGTATTGATGTAAAGGTGTCCCTCTGAAGACCGAAACATGTAAGGGCACAGATAACTGAAATAAGAACATCTTAACCAGTAACACTGAGCAGAACTATTTAGCTTTTTAAAAAACACACAAACTTTAATTGACATGAGTAAGGAGGTTGCTCTAGAAGTAAATACAGAGAAAACTAAGTATATGTTGCTGTATCATCACCAAAATGCAGGGCAAAATCATGACATACAGATAAGATACAGATGTTCTGAAAATGTTGCCACAGTTCAGATATTTGGGAACAACGATAACAAACCAAAACCTGATTCAGGAGGAAATTAAGAGGATAGTGAACTTGGGTAATGCTTGCTACCACACAGTCCAGAACCTTTTGTCTTCTCGTCTGCTGTCCAAAAACATAAAAATTAGAATATACAAAACTATAATTTTGTCTGTGTTTCTGTATGACTGTGAAACTTGGCCTCTGACATTAAGGGAGGAACATAAGACTGAGGGTGTTTGAGAACAGGGTGTTCAGGAGAATATTTGGACCAAAGAGAGATGAAGTGACAGGAGGTTGGAGAAAACTGTATAATATGGAGCTTCATAACTTATACTCTTCTCCAAGTATAATCAGAATGATCAAGTCAAGGAGGATGAGGTGGGCAGGGCATGTAGCATAAATGGGGAAGACAAGGAATGCATACAGGATAATGGTGGGAAAGCCAGAAGGAAAGATACCACTGGAAAGACCAAGGCATATGTGGGTGAACAATATTAAAATGGATCTCAGACAGGATGGGATGGAATGGAGTGATCTGGCTGAGGATAGGGACCAGTGGAGGGCTCTTGTGAACACGGTAATGAACCTTCGGGTTCCATAAAATGCTGGGAAATTCTTGAGCAGCTGCAGAATTGGCAGCTCCTCCTGAAGGGCTCAGCTCCATGAGTAAGTAAGTAAGTAAGCTATTCTCACAGACACATTGAAATCTATACCTTGGGTGTTTCTGACATCCATTTTCTCCATCGAGCTATATGGAAGCTCTGATGATAAAAATTTGGGAGCAATTCCTCTGTAGGCAAGATTCTTGATACTGGAGAACCTGCTGCATTCATCAAACTAACATCCAGAAAAGTACGAAAGCCAGAGTGACAATGTTTTCTAACACTTGTTCTTTTTAAGGGAGTCTTAGATTTCTTTGTTTGGCTCTTGCCCCTAGTTGCAACCAGGAGTGGTACATTTTTACTCTTATTTGGTACTGGGGCAGAAATACTCCTCTGACTACTTCCTGAAGCTTCAACTCTCTGTGTACCTTTCAGTTTTTTGTTCATTTTGACATCTTTAGTTGGCAATGACATCTGAAACCACATAAAATTCACTCATTACTACAGATTCTCCCAGAATGTTACCACACTGAGACTGTCTGTAATTCCAGTGTTCAGAGTTGTAAACTGTGTTTGGGTGTTAATGGCAATTATTTTGGATATATCCAATAAGAGCAGCTTGATATTTCTGAACTACTGTTTTTGCTCACCACCGTAAATTTATGCTACTGGCATAATAGAAATAAAGGGAGAAAGCATAAGAAATGTAAAAACATTATTCTGGAACACTTTGTATTTTGCTAACACTCACCCACATGAATGCAACCTGCTTGTTTAAGCACAGTAAACCAGGATCCTGTTACATCTAGACAATTTTGAAAGCTATGAAATTTCAAACCAACTCTTGAAGAATTTTCTGCAACTAGTCTTACACAACATACATGCCCAATTCTACACTGTAGCAGGTTATCTCCTTAAAATAAAATTCTAGTTGGCATACAGATCCCTAACCCTATATATAGCTGTTTGTACCTTTTATATACTTATAACATAATTTTAATATATTTTCAACATTTTATATATAGTACATCTTTATTCTATCTTTTATTTTATTTTTTTATATAAAAATCATGTATTTGCTATTTTAACTATACACTAATCTGAAGCAAAGTTTTTATGTTAACATTTAATACGATGTGTTGCACTACTAAGGATCCGTATCAGCATTTCAATAACTATACATATTCCTGCCTGATGATGGTCATGCATGACCGAAACATGTCGCAGTAAAAATCTAAATGTAATACTGAAATATTTGTTTTGCTGACGGTTGCATAGTTACTATATTTATATTGTCTGAGACACACAATAGGATGCAACCAATGAAAAAAAAAATGCCTCTGCAAATACTCAAGTGACTCAGGATAACCAGTATATATTTCACTGTCTTATTTATATGTGGTTTATTTAATGACTCTGTCAGTATCTCAGACTGTGTAGTGTCAAGTTTGTTTCAGTAATAATTAAAATCTACTCTTTGAGTCTCATTATTATTGTCAAATCCAGACTTGCACAGTATTGTCTCCTTCTTCCTCTGGTACTTCTACTTTTACATAACTTGCCTATGAATCAAGCCTCTCAAGCTCCCAAAACTCTTCCTCCTCAGTTTCCTCCCATGTTTTCTCTTCCTCTTAGGTGTTCTCCCAAGGTCAGCTGTTTGTTGACCGCGGTTCCAAAATTTAAATAACTTTAAACCACACTTAAAGCAAGTGTGTTATTTACTTTGCCACTGTCCTAGTTTTAAATGTGAGAATATTTTACAAATATGTCAGAGACCAAGTTCGTTATGTTTGCACATGAATCACTGTCATTTACACAATCTGGGGACCCAATTGAAGAAGACCACTGTAGTTTCATTTCAGCTAGCCCATCACAATCCAGGATTACAAATATTTCGGAGGGTAATTACAAGGGGAAACTAAAGCAAATTAGCCTTTGAAATGCACCAATTTTAAATAATTTAATACACCAATCCAGACACTCTTCGATACATACATAGTCTTGCATTTCTCTGGCATAACCTTGGAAATGAGTTCCTTTTTTGAGAAATAATTATAACATTATAAAGCCAAATATTGAAATGGAGGAAATGAAGATACAAAAAAAAAATGTTCTGTATGTTTCTCTACTGACATTTACCCCCTTACCTTCACGTAGGGGCGCGTGTGACGAAAATATTACGACACTCAACCGCACATTCAAGATACGTACTTCACTTACAGAGGCAACAGTGTTTTAAAATAAAGCACATCACCACCTTATTTCTTCCTCGAATACTACGACCTAAAAACGTTCGATGTAAGGGCCGTAAGGGCACAGGACATAGAACTTATCGATTACTTCTACACCATTTCAAACTATCGAATTCACAAAAATTGCCGCGCCAAAATTCATAAACAGAAATCGATGTTATCGGCTACACTGCGTCACATCCCAAAATTGCGAAGGTACTAGATCGTACTTGATCGCTGCTATTTCCACCCCCCTCATCTACATAGTGCTGCTACCTATCCGGCAAGGATAGTTAACATCACGGTGACGGCATTGACTCGGGTAGCAGTAGCTCATTGGGAAATAAGGTTAGCAACTAATCGACCTCCCCCCCTTCCCCCACGATCGCTAACACCTAAACTACTAGAACTCCTATCAAATGAATGAATAATTTTTAGACCATTAGTTCCTCATCAATGTCTTGACTTTTTTTAAAAATAACATCATTTTATACACATCATCAACACAAAATTCCTGGTCCTGAAATGTATGAGATCAATTTAAAACAGAATATTATGCTTTACTCATATGTAATGCCATACAGTTCAATAAATAGGTTGCAACGTTTTGGAGGAACCTACTGTAGCTATCTTCAAGGCAGAAGAATATAAAATAGATCATACACAGAAAAGATTAGTATTCTTAATCTCTGAGGGCAGCTGAAGTATGGAAATTGAATAAAAATAAGTTTTGATCATAGACATCTTTACTGGAAAACACGACTTTTGTTCACCACTTACACTAGATCCTATGAGGATCATGGCTTTCTATTCACTTCAAATGTACAAGTAATGAATAGAATTAAACTAATTAACCTATTATTTGAGTGAAGTTGAGTTCCTCTTGGGAAGTCAATAGTTACTGAGCTACTCAAGAAATTTATAGTATGTAATGAAACTATGTCCACAAGACTCCACCATTGGTTCCTATCCTAAGCCAGATAAATCCAGTCCATAGCCTCACATCCTAATTTTTAAGATTAATTTTATTAATATCCTCCCATAACTTAGTCTTTCATACGGTCTTTTTCTTAATTTTTCCTACCAGAACTCTGTTTAATATTCTCTGATAGCGACTCAACTCTTTGCACTGGATGGTGTATGCCAGAGGGGCGTGAGGGGAAAGAAAACAGTAGGCAGAGAATGTAAAGCCTTGATGGCCATCAACATTGTCATACATAGGAATTCCTTCCATTGCCTCAGTATAGTGCCATAAGGTTTCATATCCTTATTAAATACAGGTAAAATTGTTCCTGTGCTTAATTAATTAGGCACCATAACATGAAGAAATATGGGGGAGTGGAGGTGTAGCTCCATCATTCATGACCTTGACACTAGATGGAGGTGAGTGGTTAGCTTCATGCCCAAGGCCGCTTTACCATCTGGAGAAGAAGCCTCCATTACCTACTGGATTGGAAGCTAGATGGGCACCAAAGCCAACCTGGATGCTATGAAGTAGGGAAAAACGTCTTTCTCCTACTGGGAATCGAAACCAAGTCATCCAGCTCATAGCCTGCCACTATACAAACTGAGCTACCCAGACTCCACTTTTAATTAGAGTGTATTTTGTTATTATTTGACAGCTGTAGACATGTATTGTCATTAGCCAATATGAAACAAGCCTATAGCATGTGGATGTCTTAATATTACAAACATATGAAACACCTCACATCTGCATTTTCAATAAGATACCCATGCTATACGCAGCTGCATGTGAATAAAATTATATATCTGTGGTAAATTAATCCACATTAACTGTACAAGAAACTGTTTTGCATAAGATACCAGACAATTCCTTTCAAGTAATTAAATCTTAGATTCTGTCATTGTAATTTTTTACTGTATCAGAATGGACAGTTAAAAAGGTAAGGTTGTCCCTGCACTTAATTAATTAAGCATCTTTCATGATAATGTATGGGGAAGTAAATGGATGGCTCCCATGATTTTGGTATTGGATGGAGGTGAATAGTCATCTTCACACCCTTGCTCCATCACTAGGGAAAGTGCCCCTAGTATCCATTGGTATTACAACAGAAAGGGCATTTTTAATTTCACTACGTTATATGACACAAGAACAGGAAAGACTTAAGTGACATGTGTAAGAGAAGGAATACACGTATAACAACAGAAGTGAACAACAATGTAACGAAAATGAAAAGAGGTAAAGAAATTACATAAATAGTCCGACCCACATTCAACCCTGATACTGATTCTGCTCCACACTGAGGTGGATAACCTGAACTTTGCAAGTCAATTACAAAGTAATGCCTCTTCATTCTTACCTACACATAAACAAGATCCATGTGTGTCAGAAAACAATTTCCCACACAATTTTCTGTTGAAATTTAATTACTTGAAGATAACAACAGTAAACAACCAAGGGCATGTCAGTCAGAGGAGAGGAATACAAAGGGTATTTTGGTAGGATAAATTGAAGGATCTGTTGGGGATACAAATAGAATATTTAGATGAGTGTTGGGAGAAATGGAGCCAAGGTGGCGGGGTGTGGACAGGATTCTTTTATAATTATTTTTATTGGAGTGAGAGACCATTTGGTACTTTGGCTAGTTGTAGCTTATTGTACCAATCCTAGATGATTGTGATAGTAGAGCAGTTGATGGAACGAAGATTGACAGGGGAAATCGAAGTACTTGGAGAAAATCAGTCCAAGTGCCACATTGTGTCCACCACAAATCCCACATGCCATGGCCCGGGAAGCTAGAGCAGGAGAAGTGTAGTTGAGAATAAGGGGCAATGAGTTCTGTGAGAATAATGTAAAGAGGTCGCGGGTTCTATGAAATGGTAATTTCTTCGGGCACTGAGCAGCTGTTTGCTGGGAGTAGGCACAATGAATTTGGTCTTGAAGTATGACATTAATGTAGAATTTGGTACCTGTAGGCAATAATGAATTTCATGGCCGTAAATGTAGAGGTGGATGGCCACAAGACGCAGTGGAGATTTCTGTGTGGCCAGGGACCATACAACAGTGTGCATAAGTTCAAATTAAAATTTCCGTTAGTATAATGAAATCGGTTAGCACATGTTTGCCGCGAGAAAATTAAGAGTTTCGGTCGAAGGCAAAACGTTTGCGCCTACAGAAAAGGAGTGCCACGCATTGTACAGTGTATGTACAAATGAACTCCCCCCTGGCCCCATCAAAAATACTAGTGTACGATATCTAGGTATATCTAGGTATTTGCTGCTGGCACCTATGTATATGCGACTGAGAGTAAAGAAGGGTGACTTACCAGCAGTCAGTCGTAAAATGACTTTGAAACGAAGCAAGAAGTAAAGAGGAATTTTGTAGAAAAGAAGCGGTGGGATACTTGGAAGACGGAGACGAATAGTTGTCATAACCATGGTGGGCCTTTGGTAAGGCACTAGTTTATGGTTTAGAAGTTACGTGGTTCGAAGACAACTATTTTTGTGGGGGGGGGGGAATGTGTGCATGTAGAAAGCAAGTAGTACTATATGAGGAAGGTGAAGGTAACAAATTTGTGTAGATCTGGTGGTACATGGGTAAGACATTGGCGTAGTATTGGGAATGTACCGGGTTCGAGACCACGGTGTCTTTTGTCAATAGAAATTGAAAAGTGAATAAATAAATACGATTTTTCTACGGCTATAAATCGAGTCATAGAATATGAGGAGGATCGCAGAAGGCTCTAACATCGATGTTCTCGTGGTCTAGAGGTGAGGCACCGGCGTTGTGAATAAAAGGTCCGTGGTTCGAGAACACAAAAATTTTTGCAATGATATTTTTATGGAATTGTATAGCGAGATTTAACATAAGTGGAGGATAAAGGTCAAAAATTTCTGCGGCATCGGTGGCCTATGGGTAGGACACTGGCCTAATGTGCAGAAGTTCCGAGATTCAGAACCAGCGAAAGTTTTATAAAATACAAATGTAGTTAATATGATTTTTCTGTAATTATAACAAAAGATCTTCTTTTATAATATGCGACACTATGTTCTTTGCTGATACAAAGTCAATTCCATCCATTTATCATAAAAATTGAGTTAGATACATTATGCCCTCATTTCTGTTTGTAACACTTGACAAATTTAGCAGTCCCTGGAGACATATAACAGATGGAAGGAATAAAATCATTTGGTTCTCTGGTGGGAAAACTTACATCTTGATACACCCTTCAGATTTTCGAATCGTTTGACTGAAGGACAGAAGAATGAAAGAATGGCTATTCAAGAAAAAGAGCTAGAGGGGTCCCGGGACAGTGCTAAGACCTTCCATTATACCTGCAAGAGATTATTGCCCTTTCTAAGGTCGTGAACAGACAGTAGCATCGTGGCTGAGATACAGAGTGCGATCTGTTTTCTGTGCATTCATAGTGACATCGAATTCTGTAGTTTATAGATACACGTATGTATATATATACAAAAAAAGACGTGTACATCGAATTTTACTATATATTTTTAACACATTAATCTGCAGAATCAGCAATAAAAGTACTGGCTCGTGGATGAGTTTGAGCATAACTTATACGTATATACGTATAGGATCGCAGACAGCTGCAACATACATGTTCTGGTGGTCTAGTGGTAAGGCACCGGCGCTGTAAATATAAGGTTCGTGGTTCGAAAACACATGTATTTTTGTAATGAGATTTTTATGGAATTATATAGCGAGATGTAACAGAAGATGAAGATTAAAGGCAAAAAAAATCAGTGGCGTTGGTGGCCTATTGGTAAAATACTGGCCTAATGTCACGGAGTTCCAAGGTTCAGAACCAACGAAAGTTTTATAAAATACAAGTGAAGTTAATAAGATTTTTCTGGAATTATAACCGAAGATGTAGCTTAAGAGGAAGATTAAAGAAAACAAATTTCAGAGGTGTTGGTGGTCTGGGGGGTAAGACATCAGCTTAGTGTTCAGAAGGTCCGTGGTTCAAAACCAGTAGGATTTTTGTGAAAAAAAATAAACGAAGAAAACCAACGGCAGTGCAAGAAGTGAAGAGATAGAGATAAGGTGTGGGGGGCGAGGGAGGGTAGATTTTTTTTTTTTTGCGGCCGCTTCATTAAGACACTCAACCTAAGCGGGTTTTATTAAAATCCACATGGGATCAAAAAGAAAAAAAATTTGGCCCACCATCCAGCCACCAACCACCCACCCTTAGGGGGTGACTTTGACTTATTCATTTGAGACCATATTCTATGAGCGAGAGTTA